CCCCGGCCCATAGTCTAACCCACAATCCAGCCTCCAACTCAACGTCGGCATAATCGCCGCCTGCATCCCAACCCTGAAACCCCTCCTCCGCACACACCCCTCATCCTCCCGCACCCCCCGCCGGAGCGCCTACAACGACATCGAGCACGCCGCCACAATCGGCAGCGGCCGCGCCGCCAAACCGCGCTCCAGCATCCTTGCCACAACCACAAAATCCACCACCTCTCCCACAACAACAACCTTCACCCTCGACTCCACCTTTGAAATGGCAAACCGCGGTAGTCTTCGCGAGAAACTAGCAGGCGGAGGTGCTGGTGCAGGCGGAGTGAATATGAATCAGCAGAAAAATGTCGTGTATAGTGATGGGAATGGGGTGAGGACGGGGAGTCAAGAGAGGATTTTGCACGAGGGGGGAGTGGAGGATGCGAGTGGGATTCTTTGTACGACGGAGGTGGTGGTGGATAGTGTGGAGAGGGTGAGGAGGAAGCGGTGAGTGGACATGGGGTAATGTGGATGGGGGGGTTTTTTTTGTTGGAATATTTGCGGGGGGGAGATGGGTTATGTAGAAAAGCTTTATGGTTTGCTTAGTTCTGATACCCATTGTTGTCTTTTTCTTTCGTAGGGGTTTCATAACTGGATAATTTCTTTTTTTTTGAAAGTGAGACATGGAAATTCTGTATGATGAGCAAATGGTATCATATAGTCGTACCTGGAGAACCAACCGTGCCATATACGTCCTTTTGCCCTCTGTGAGCAGCAGCCGGCACACTGAGGTACCTATTGACCAGGACTGTAGCATGCATTCCATGGATAATTTGCTATGCTCGAAACACCCACTACTGGCTCCGAATATCAGTGACCCAAGCACACATTCCGAAATACTCTCTGAAATACCGCCTGTTCACCAAGCTAAGTTATCACTAATGGCACAAACATTCATGTACACAGCATGAGCAAGATAGTCATACAGGAGTTCCATTTCAACCTGAACCTAAGATGAATGCCCTGCCATTATGCATTCATGACCATGACTATCTCCTCTTATCATCACCTACAAGTGTCCATGCAAAATACCAGACATCTCATTCATGTCCACCTTGACCGTCTTTTCCCATCACATGCTCTGCTGACTCCGATAAGAACGGTTTTCTGAAGTAGACGATGCTGTGGCATATATCTACCAACCTCCATTGCCACCGTCATTCCAAGAAGCTTCACCCGTAGGAGCAGCAGAGTCGCCCGTATCTCCACCCCAGCCACCACCAGCAACGCTACCGGTATCATCGTTGGTATCAGCAATCGGGGCTTTGCAACGCTGTCCAGGTTAGCACGGATTCCATTCACGGCATGAGGGATGCTCACCTTGGGGCCATGGCCCAGCTCGCCGCAGTTGCTGCACTTGTGCTTGGACCAGTCCTTGGGTTCGGGACAATCACGAGAGAAGTGGCCCATCTGCTCACAATTGCGACAGATGACGGTGTCGGGATTACGAGGCTGGTCGCACTCCTTGGCCATGTGCTCGGTCGATCCACAGTTGCGGCAGGTACGGGCAGCAACGTTAGGGCACTATGAGCGGTCAGTATGTATTGGTTAACCAGTATCAATGTGTGTACTGACATCCTTGGAAAAGTGACCAATCTCGTTGCACTTGCGACACTCGACGCCCTCGGCTGAACGAGGCTCGGGACAATTTTTAGCGTTGTGGCCTTCCTGCTTGCAGTTCTTGCAGGCATAGGGGTTGTAACGTTCTTTGGTACAGTCGCGGGATCGATGGCCGATTTCCTTACAGTTGATGCACTGGATCTCGGGCTGGTGCGTCTCGCGTTCAACCTGCTCTTGTTTGCAGTGCTGCTTATGTGTCAGTCCAGAATTCATCAAATGAGGAGATCGGGTTCGATATACTGACCTTGCGGATGTGACCAAGCTCACCGCAGTTACCACACAGTGGAACACCACGATCTTGAACATCGCCACAAGATTCAAGACGTTCCATGTTCTGAGCAGGGCTCTCGGGCCAGCCTTGGGCCAACTTGGGGCGACGAGGCTTTGGAGAAAGCTGGAAAGTCAGGACATACTCGCGATCAGGGTTGCCAACGAGATCGACAATGGTCATGTTGATGGGGATCTCCTCCTTTTTAGCAATCAGATAGATGTCGAGACCATCTTCGCGCAGAGCTTCCTCCACAGCTCGAAGATTGAACTGGTCCATGGTGGCACGAGCGTACGCCTTCAGACAGACACGGAACACATCCAAGTCTTTTTCCTTAGCGGCATCGATGAGAGCAACCCAGGCAGCTTCGGCTCCCATCTCGGGAACGCCAGACCAATTGACTGAACGACGTGACTTGCAATCAATCGCACGGTGACCCGGCTGGTCACAGAGCTTGCAAGTTCCATCGAATGGACGCTGGACACGCTCGTTGGTACAATCAGCCTTGTTGTGGCCAACTTGACCACAGTTGTAGCACTCTCCGGTCAGACCGATGCCGCCCTCTGGCTTCGATGGGCATTCACGGGCGTAATGGCCTGGCTGCTTGCAGCTGTTACTTGTGTCAGTATAGCCAAAGTGAAGGTTCTGAGTCTCACTTACATCCGACAGCTATCGTCAGCACCACCGTCGGCACCACCACTATCTGCACCAGCATCGACACGAGTGTTAGTATTGCCACCACCCCAGTCATCACCGCCAGTTGGAGCAGGATCCCAGCCAGAGGCTTCGCCTGCAGACAAGATCAGTATTTGCTCATAGCATTTGCGTGCCATGCCGTGCCACATACCTGAAGTGCCGCCCGTGTCCCAGCTCATAGTGAGTGACACTTGCTGCAGTGAGGCTGCAGTGTTGTCTGCGTGGGGTATAGTAGAAAAGGTCTTGCAGTAGAAGAGCAAAACTTGAAGCTGATGACTGGCACGAGTTGAAAAAGTTTGTGCCGTGTAGATGAGTAAGTCGCACTGGTGCCTCCTGCTTCATCTACCACGCCAGGGGTCCGTGCTCAGACCTGCAGGTCAAACTGAAGGTGAGAGTGAGTAAGGCGGCATGCCATGCAACAGAGAGTATCACAGGTGAGAGGGCATCTATGAGTCGGGCTGTAGGTGAAGTCGAGGGACGCAGACAATGCTGCAGTCACTACTAGAGGAAAGATTGAAGATATTTTACGTTGTTGGATACATAAGTGGAAATCAACTCATCTAGACACATGCCACCCAGAAAACAAGGCGTGCCGTGTCTCTTTGTCCTAAAAGAAAAAGATGCTGGTATCATGTCATAAAACTCCCACGCAAGACAACAAATGCCTATTCGTAATGCGACGACACGCTCCCTGAAGTCACACAAACCTGAAAAACTCCCACAAGATGCGTAGGCAAACATGCCCTGATTTGGCTTCCCATTCAACAAATAACCAAACATGGCCAAACCTAGACACCACGGAACTAATGAAAATGTTAGCATAGGCTCTTCGTCTAGTGTTTTCTGTGTTCTACTTACTGCTCGGACAACCAAGAACCACATTGCACCAATGAACCTGAAAGCTGACAAGCCAGCAACACTGTACAAAACAACAGCCAGGTAGATGGTAGCAGCCTCGTTCCTCTTCTTCTGCGCCTCATCCGGAGTGCTGACGGTGAGCTCCAGGCCACCCGACTGCAGAACCAAGGCCGTCAGGCCCAGGTTGCAAAACATCCAGAACAAGACGACACCGGATCGGAAACCCTTGTAATAATCTTCCTGCTTCTCACTTGCTGAAGGAACCTTCTTCTCCTCAACCCACTTACTGCTAAACACCTTTAGCTCTTCCTCATATTGTGTGTTGAGATCGGCATCGTCAGTGGGTGCTTGAATGTCGGCTTTACCGTCGGCTTTTGTGACGACTGAAGGCAGCTTCTCTGGTTTATCATCTCCCTTTGTACCCCAGGTGATGTCGTGCGTGTTGCAGAAAGCGTAGACGTTGAGAATATTGATGTATGTCGGGGTCATAAGAAGATATTGGAAGAAGGAAGTGAACATGTGCCACGGATCCAAGAAGATTATGGAGACGAGGAACCACATGACGTATGTCGACAGTAGCGAGATGATCAATGTCGCGAAGATCCTGTCTCTGAACAGGTCCGCAAAGTTGAAGCCTCCGTTGGCAGCGATCTGGCCCTGGACAGACCGGACACTGATGAAGATGGATGCAAACATGAGGTATGCCATGATGATGCACCAAAAGTAGACCATGGACATGTACCACTTGTTGGAACCCTGCGGTCGATTACCCAATGACAGGATGAAACAGGTAATCAAGACAGCGATGTAGAGCCATTCGAATACAATGAACAGAACCTTGCCAGCAGTGCCGAGTTCGTTTTGTAGAGAAGCCGTGAGAATGCGGAAGACGAGGAAGAAGTTACCGAGGGCGAACCAAGCGAAGATCATGCTAATCGTCTGGTAGACAAATTCGACGAGGAACATCATTTTGCGCAAGAAAGAGTGATCACTGCGGAAGATGTCGAAAGAGTGAGCCAGGGCGTAGACAGCAGCGAAGAAGGAACCGTTAAGCCAACGACGACGCTGACTGATGAACTCGGCCATGGTGGTAGGAACGTCAGTTTCTCCAGTGGCCGACTTTACGTATTGCAAGATCCAGTGGCAATTGCGTTTAGAGACCAACTCGAAACACAGAATACGATCTTCAGCCAAGTACATGTTGGCAGTAAAAATACCAGCATTGGCGCCGTGCATCTTCTCGCCAGCAAAATACTTCTCCAGTGGACCTTGTCCAGTCTTATCGTTCTGGAGAGCGACATATCTGTAGGCTGAGAAAGCACCGGGAAGCACACTGATGAAACCAAAGGCGGATTCCAAAGGCTTGTCCAGAATATTACTCATCTTGTACTCAAAGTTCTGAGTTGCTACCAGCGGGTTCAGAAGCTTCTTTCCATGCACCAACATGGCCTTGATCTCACCACAGGCACCAGCGCACATGGGCTCAAGATCAAAGGCTTTCCATAGTTGGTAGACGGAATCCTTTCCAGGTTTGGTACCCGCATCGATGAGCACGCAGACGTTTGGATCTAGGACGGCACCGAAAGCCTGGAAGAACCAGCGATGCGAGTTGATCTTCTTCTGGTTCTTTTCTTTGAGACAGAACAACATCTGCACAGGGGTGTTGCCCTTTTTGACGTTGACGACACCCTTCTTGATGTCGAGAGTCATCTGGGTAGTGTACTCGTAGATATGGGCAGTTACGTCCTTGCCGTTAACTTGCTGCTTGGCAATGCCGTCCTGGTATACACCGAGACCAGCTAGTACGGCACGGGTTCGCGGATTGATCTTGGCACGACCATCGCTGACGACGCATACGACGATCTTCTTCCACGCGTCCTTACCCCACGTTTTACTGTTGGTTCGCGAGTTCATGTACTCAATGTTTTTGATTACGCCACTCATTGTTCGCGCAAACAGCTCGTCTTCCTCGTTGTACATGGTAATGACAATGAACAGCTCAGTGTGTCGCGGCTTGGCAAACAGCTTCTGACGGAGGGTAAAGCGCTCAGCATCAAAGTCTGCAGGATCGCATGTGGCGGCCGAGTAGCGCATGTGTGTGAATTCGTCACGCTCGGGGGGCTGTGCATGTGGGACTTGGTTCAGCAGCCGTGGCGGAATCGGGCAGTCGAGGACCAAGTTACCCTTGAACAACTGGACTTCCTTGACCGTCTTCCACCTCTTAATCGGTGCTTGGCTGGGTGGCGGTGCTGGCTCATCATGAAACGGGTTTTCTGGGTCCATATCTTCTGGGTCGTGAGGATCTGGGCCATATGAGTTTGCGCTTTGCATCATGGGTCTGTTCATATCGTCGTCCTGCCAGTAGTGCGTAGGCTGCGTGCCGTATCCCGCACCGGGGCTCTCGTCATGAGGAGTTGGGTCGTAAGGCTGGTTGTAGTATGCATCGTGGTGTTGTTGGGGGTCGAATGAATAGTTATTTTCGTGTCGTTGCGGTCGTGGGTCGTAGTCGTCGTGGTAGTTGCCTCCAGTGTATGGAATGTTTTCTACCGAATACTGCGTTTTGTTAGCCTGTGGGGTTTTGGGCATATAGCAACCATAACAAAGTGCCCTAACAGCTCTCAGAATGTCTCATGCTGTGTATCCGACGTACACTTGGTTGTAGGGGCAAGCGGTCGCTAGAGGCAATTGCTTGGTTTGGTCCCATGGGAATCTCCAAGACGCCCGATGGCGAGGGAGATGTAAATCGGTCTTCGAGTTGGTAGCCTCGCAGTGGCTGTCCGGGAGAGGGCGTGCGCCCATTTCCTCGTCGTGGATCCATCTCGAACGGGTCGTCGTTGCCGCCCGGGTGGTCTGGACAGCGGTGTTAGTGTTGCGATATGGTAGAGGGTCGGTGAGGTAAGAAGGCAGGGAAACAAAGGACAGGACCCAAGGAGTGGTCACCGGATGGTTGCTCAGGCGCGTAAGGACGGGAGCAGTGCTCCGTGGGGACTCTCACCTAGTCTGTTGTATGACATGCCGACGTGATTTCCGTGGTGCGGCCGCAACTTTAGTTCAGTCTGGCGGCAATGCGGCAACCGAAACCACAGTCCAAAACGTTAAAGTGAGGGATGGGGCGACAGCAAATCCAAAGGCGCAGCCGTTGTTGTGCTTGTCGTATAAGCGTTGCGGGATAGAGGGCAGGAATATGTATCGTGTTTCAGGTGGGCTTGGTGGGTCACAAAAGCTGCAGGGTGCACCGCAGTTGTTTACCACAGCAACCGGCGGGCACAGGTGGGTAATGATGTAACGGCGGGCACTCGAGCGCACAAGGCCGGATACGAGGTTGGCCCAGGCAAAGAGCGGAACGATGATGGAATGTGGGTTTTGTTTTGAGATGTCGACGTCTCTCAGCTGGTCGAGCATGCGTGTGGGTGGGTGGGTGTACCTTGAAGTATGTTCTTACGCAGCCGCCAAGCAGGGCAGGGCAGGGCAGGGCAGGCAAGGCAAGGCAAAGTTGCGACTGCGACTGCGACTGCGACTGCGCACCATTCGCTGCGCAATCAGCGTGGGGCATGCCCGCCACAACTCCTCAGCCTTCACAGCCGCACCCAGTGACGAGGCCATGCATGTGACCTGCTTATGCAAAACACTGCCGTTGGTTAGTTAATAGACGAGGGGCTGTTACGGATCATGAGCTATACCGGTCCTGCATCTTGACAGCATTTGCCCTGCTGCCGTGCCATGTCTTCCTTTCGTCTGGTCTTGCATGAGACGTCCTCGTTAGTGCAGTCGACACACGCACACACACACAACCCACAGCCGCAAGTGGATGCTGGTGCACGCCTAACATACCAAGTGCTTATTCCAGCAGTGGCTGCGCATGAGTAGCAAGCCTCCCAAGCCCGAAATACTTGTCCATGTTCGGGCGCACTTAGCGAGGCGAGTCATGGCTACAACTCGTGGAGATGCACATGTATGTAGTAGATAGTAACTTGCCCTGTGAACCTTGGGACGGAAACACGCGTGGCCGGTGCCTTGAACTTGTCTGTGTCTGTGCCTGTGCCTGTGCCTGTGCTGTACATGGTCTTGGCACCCAAACCGTCCCACCATTCCCCCAGATCTTCGCTCGCTTCTCCACAGCCACAGCCATACTCAGACACTGGCCAACTTTTTTGTCTACCATACCATATATCACACCATCTATACACACAACCCCCCCCCCCCCCCCCCACACACACACACACCCACCGAAACAATGGGCGAATCAACCTCCCCGCAGCCCGTCTCCGTCCTCTTCGTCTGCCTTGGAAACATCTGTATGTACACCACTATCCCCTCTCTTTCTGCACACCACTAAGTCCACCACACGTAGGTCGCTCAACAATGGCAGAAGGCGTCTTCCAGTCCCTTACACGACCCGCCGGAAAACCCCCACACCCACTGATATCCCACATCGACTCATGCGGCACCGGCGCATACCACATAGGCTCCGATCCAGACTCGCGCACAATGGCTACCCTCCGCAAGAACAACATCACTTCGTACCGCCACTCGGCCCGCAAGTTTTCGCCCGTCACCGACTTTGACAAGTTCGACTACATCTTCGCCATGGACGATGACAACCTGGCGGACCTGGAGAGCTTGCGCCAGAGGGAGGTCAAGAAGAGAGGTGGCGAGGACGGCATCGGGCAGGTCATGTTGTTTGGCGAGTTTGGTGGCAAGAGGAGGAAGTACAGGGGCAGGGAGATGGGCGAGGAGATTGCTGATCCATACTATGGCGGCGACGATGGATTCACCATTGCCTACGAGCAGGCCCAGAGATTTAGCAAGGCGTTCTTGGAAAAGCTGGAGGCGGGAGAGTTGAGCTGAGATTGTGGGCGTTGGGCATGGCACCAACGGTGATGGTTGGAAGACTCGTCGATGAGCGGAGTCTCGTTTTGATACCCATAGACTGGCCATGGGCTAGAGTGCATTTTACATTACACGAATCATATCGTTTTGTTCCGTTCCTCGTTTCCTCTTGGGTATATCCTCTTGTCGCGCCATCGCTATGAGTTTTGCTTAATCTGTCTCTCGAGATCCAGCAGCTTCTCCACCATCTTTCCTCGCATGAACTCGGTCAATCCCAATCTACACTATTGTCAGTATTCAGTCACCCGACGTGGTTTCGAGCCCATTTTGTACTCACATTCCCTCTCTCGTCACAATACGATATGTCCCGCTGTTCTGCCACGCTCCATCACCTCCATTCAACCTTCCATGCGCATCCACCTCTACACTCCCAAATATGTCCTCAGGCCAAGCAATGCGCCCATAATCTGGCGGGTTCCTCAAATCGCTAATATGTATCCACCCTCCGTGTCCCCCTCCGCCCATGCCACCCTGGTGATTTGCGCCGCCTGCACCGTCATTGGGCTGTGAAAGATTGGAGCCACCGGGCGACGCGTAGACAGCTGCTTGCGACTGTACGTAGGGATCCTGCGCCGCATGCGCTGCAAATACCGAGTACAGTATAGGCAGAAACTGGGGGTTCTCGGTGAAATTGCGGGGTGTGGGTGGCAGAGCAGTGCAAGTGCCGATTGCGAGTTGGGGTGTTGGGGGTTCTGTGGGGAGAAGGGATAGCAATTGTTTGCTTGGATCAAATGGATCTTTGTGTACGTACTGTATCCTGTGTTAATATCTTCGTCATCTAAGAAGAAGAAGAGATGTGAGGGAAAAGCAGTACAATGTGTGGGTTCTCGGCCAATGTCGAAGCGGGCCGGGCGCCTCGAAGACGAAGTGTTGTTCGCGATGCAGGAACCACACGGCGCGATGAGCGCACAAATGTGTTGGCGAGCATTTGGTATAGTACTGGGCACATTGTGGTTATGCAAACAAGCTGGAGTTTGGAGGTGAAGCTTCGCACGGCAACAACAGCAAAAGCTCGGATTGAGAATCACGAAAAGACGGGATGAGTAACCATGACGAAGTGCATCTCGGAAGTCCGATCGCTTGGGGACTAGTACTAGCGGTAGATCGTATACTAGCGCCCTTCCTGCACTTTGATCTCATGTTCAAGATATAGTAATCAAACGAGCCATACACCCGTCTCCACACTTTTATGTTGCTGTAATAGGATGCCAGTTCTCCATCTTCATCGTGCCCCCATTATACGCCGCCGTCCCCGCCGTTCGCACCCTCATCCCCGGCGTCGTCCAAGCACAATCCCCGAAAACCCCATTCTGCGCCGCGACTTCACTAACAGGAATGCCGAGCGTAGGCGTGTATTCGGCCTGGTAAATGGTCTCGCTGGCGCCGCAGCCCCAGAATCCACAGTACTCGGATGCGCGCACGGTAGCGAGGTCTGCGACGGAGAAACCGGGGGAACCGTGGAAGGTGCAGTATCGGCGTTGACCGGAGCCCGCACATACACGTGATATGGTTACAATGTCGGACTCGCGCTGTGCAACCGTTAGAAGCGAGGCCGTTGTTGATGGCGCGAATACGTCTGTTTTAGTGGCGGTGTTTGTGTTCCCGATCAGCGAGGCCCGGCCTGTGAGTGTCTGGAGGATTGCGTTGCGGAGCAGATAGTACACGCTTGGACTCGTCATCGTTATGCCAGAAACTACGGCAGTCCGGGCTGGACCAGAGGTAGTAGTCGCGTTCGTGCCGTTGGTGTCGCAAAATGCAGATCCAGAGGGAATTGCAGTACTAGGCCAGTAGAACGCGTCCCACGTTCCTCCTTCAAGAAAGCATGGAGGTTGTGACGGTACGGTTCCATCATTGAGAACTGTGCATCCAGGTCCTGCAATTGATCCTGTCGCGGAGGGGTTCTGTGACAGGAATGAGGTACGCCAGTTATATGCGTCCTTCAGCCGAGTACATAATGCGCCGTAGTCACTAGCGACGGTACAGGTTGGAGATGGCAGTTGATCGAGTTCCGTAGACCATGGTGGCGTATAGTACGTAGCCTCGCCAGTGATCGTGAAGGTATATGTCTCGGTAACAGTCTGACATTTTGTCGAGCTTGTAGACGCACGAGGAAATCCATCACACAATGTTGTTAGAGACGGCAAAGGCGTGGTTTTGCAGTCGAATCTCTCATTGAGATATGCAGAGTACGAATACGACGTGGTTGACCAAGGATTCCAGGTGTAATTCTGGCTGCTCAAAAGCTCGGTATAGAGGAACCAGGAGGCTGAGGAATAGCTGGCGTGGGCATCCCAGCAACTTATTACACTTGCTGGAATATCGGAGAAGTCGGATGGCAGAGCGGGAGTGTTTGCAGGTGGTATCGGTGGATGCGTGGGAGCAGGAGCTGCGACAGTAGTCGAGGGTACATTTGAGCTCGATGTAGGACTTGGAATGGACTCTATGTAGGATAAGTCATTGGTGCAACCTCGACATCGGACACTGATTATCTTACGCGCTAGTCCTCGAACTTGCAGATATGCAGCAATGACCCAGCAAACCTGCATCACCATGGAAGACATGCTTGCTTGCTTCGATATCAAGAAATATCATATTCGAAGACAGCACCTGTTTATATGTCCCTCGAAAAAACCCTACTACCTTCCCCGCATGGAAATAATTGTTCCTTAACATCACGAGTCAAGCTGAATACATGTGTTGCTCTATCAATATTCAACAGCCAATCAGAGACTTGGTACTACGTTCCAATACGATGCTAGCAATTTGCACGTTTCTATTTCCGGTCTTTACGTATGCAATGTCAGCATGCTGCATATATTGCGGGATGAACCGCCAAGCGGCTGAAATCAGCCCTAAGAAAATTAGCAAAACTAATCAGAATGGTAATTGCACAATACTTCACACTGATGTAAACAGTTGCAGTTCTGTTGTGTTGGTTATAAAGCCAATCTTCATACATTATGTGTGGTGAACGAATGTGATTGTTGGGCATGGTCGTGTTTATGCCAGAGACACATTCATGTGTGAGCTTTAAGAGATATTTGGTGGACACTTCGATCTTCAGCAAATTTTCAATGTATCACAAGGAAAGGCTAGCTCAGTAGTAGGAATTCTAGTCCCAGCCAGTGGTTATTAATCTGCCAAAGTGGGCTTTCCCAATACAGTGAGTTTCCTCGTCGTGTATAGTACGTCAGATGAGAGTCATGCCACTTCGTAGGGATCTTTTTCACTGTATCGTGGAGCCATGTGTGATCAGGCATATAAAGGTGGAGAAGCGTTCCTTAATCAGATAGGCAATAAAGCTGAATAGTAATCGCTAGTGAAATCCAAAGTATTCGCATTGTGACTCGGTCGACCCATGAAATATTTGAATAGCTCGGTAGATATGCTTATCAAATGCTGGCGCGTTTGCGGTAAGGACTTGATGTTGGCTCATACGCTGATAGCTTTGGCAAGAATAGGAGCATATATCAAGGCGTCTAGACTCTACAATTATGTGCTAGAGCTGGGGCAGAGATGGGCCTGGCATACAAGCGTGGTGTGGCCTGCGATGCGAAATACGAATAGCTAGGCGACCCATATTTCGTCATCTTCAATAACCAGCCACAGTTTCATTCGGGAAGTTTTCCGTTTACTAGGATACTTAGAAGTCTTGAATAACCTACGTCATATAATTGATCGAACATTCTGCAATTGTGTCATTTTGTGGTTTGCTAGCAAAAGCACCATGCTCAAGCTACTCTTGTATTGCATGGTGGTATTTGGCAATGCAACCTGATCGTAACATGGAGGTTCCTTCTCAAGTCATACAAGTAATTTCGTCTAGAACCTGACACAAGACGGCGGCTCAAACAATTCTATACTCAGGGCGCCTAATCAGTCAACCTTGCGCCAGCGAAGAAAGGACAGCAGGAGGCTAACTATGACAGCTCGAGTCGCTTGCATGTTACACCGACAACCATTGTATCAGCATCACATCCTTCTGTATAGCAGAAATGATTCCATGGGTACTCCCGCTGATGTGCCGGGCTGCATGGTGCATATGCAGGAGGTCAAGTCCTGTGAAACAGGTCAAGGTATAATCATAGTTGGTCTCACCTTAACAGCTAAAAAGGAGAGACTTTATGTATCCTACGAGCGGGATGTTGCATGCGAAGTGTTGGGTTATTATAAAGTTACGTAGTTGGCCCTGAACAAACTGGACGCGTCTTATACAAGCACTTACGAAACGAGCGCCAACCATTGATTTCATTGATAGACGACTCCCCAAATACCATCCGGCATTTTCTTCTCAATCGGTCAAGTACGATCCGATGTCGAGGAGTTATGTGCCAGCTTCCCAGGCTTTGGTGGGGAACACGAGCAACAGCCTCGCGATACCGCCAGTATGGAACGCGCAGCCAAGCAGCAACGGTTTACCACAAAGGCCAGAATGGACAGATACGAATGCTATGAAATGCTGGAATAAGGTCTTTCCAGATGCTATGATAAGATTCAAGTCCACGAAAGAGCCTAAGGGCCGATCGGGAACCGACTACCACATCAGAGACAAAACCAATTAGGATGCTATCTATTATACGCTTGAATCGGCGCGCGCGAAATACCAGACGAGTGGGGGCCCAGTTGGCTGGATTCGAAAGGTTCGAAGAAAGGCCGCCGATAACATCACTCCTGGAGCTGAAGCGACAAAGATCGCTTCAAAATTTGTTCCTCAGGATACAATCGCGACTCCAGTCGTAGGCGCCGTAGAGGTCATACTTGACGCTGTCAAGACTGCTTCAAAGGTGCGAAACCAGGTTCTTGAAGGCTTCGACGGGGTTGTTCCACTCTTTTCCGACGCAGAGCTCTTCCTCAGCACGTTCCAAGGTGATGCGAACATTCGGAACGCATCTATTGAATTGATTGCCGCGACAATAGAGGCTGTGGAACGAGCCATAGGTTTCTTCATCAGCAATGAGTTCCTACGAGGCGGCAAAGCCTTCCTCAGTGGTGGGGACTACGGAGGGAGCTTACTCAACAGTCTCAACATGATTGAGATGAAGGCCAGGGATCTTATGGAGCAAGCAGATAAATCCCATATGTACCAGTTCCACATGTATTCTCAAGAGACGAAAAGGATTCTTAAGCAACTTGACTACAAGGCCGACATCTTGGTCACTGGAATCAACACGATAGAGCAGTTACTGGGAGACCATCTGCAGCAGAGAGACCGCGAGCTGGAAATTGCCCGACAGGAAAACAATCGTCTTAAAGCCGAGAACGTGATACTGCGCTCTACATCGCCAATGCAGCAAAGCATGTGGGCTCCTCCGCCGCAGTCAGCCCAAGCACCAGCCCTGGGTTGGTACATCAACCAAGATACACTGCGAAACATGATTGACACCTTTGACCTCGACTTCTTCGACATCGCCTTCGTCACTGATAAAAAAGAGCAGCTTTCCGCAAAACATAGAGCACGAGCTGAGCAAATCATCCACACACCGCTCTTCGAGAACTGGATTGTATCTGCCTCGTCGTCGAAGCTTTTGGTCCACTGGGACTCGCACCTTCCGAGAACGATTGCTGACATCTCGCCACTATCTGTTTTCTGCATCACTCTAGCGCAGTCTCTACGAAGCAAAGACCGATTCATGTCCGCACTGTGGTTCTGTGGATGCCATATTGACGAGAGCGAGCCTGGAGCTCGTACTGGTGGGCATGCTATGATTTTTGAGTCTGATCGACCAATTGTTAAGGCAATTTCAATTCGACACTAGACCTTTGTGCAATGACATTGACCTTGCGAGCCTTCAAGAGGGTGGGCTTGAGGTGCATATTGAGCTACTCAGCTGGCTGGTACGACAGTTACCGCCCCAGATAACGCTGTTCATCATTGTTGATGGCGCAGTTTTATTCGAAAGGGAGCAATTTGAAGATGAGGCATTGAAGGTGTTTGCCAGCTTGCTTAGACTCGTTGTTGATACCAGTGTGATGGCTTCCATCAAGGTGCTATTTACCAGTACACCCGGCACGCACATCGTACGAACACCTTTTGAGCCAGAAGATCTGATCCTGAATGTAGATAACTTGCCACGGCCGGCAATAGGGAGCGAGGAACGCATGGTAAGAGAGCTTCAAGGCGAGCTTGGAGACGATGGGAACTGTGATGAGTGGAGATGAAACAGACCCCTGCGAAGAAAAGATATTCATACCTTGCATTATAACTAGCATTTATCATGCGAATGGAGCCATTGTTATCTGACTGCAGACAGAGCCTTCATGTTCTGAGAAGCTGTCAACAAGCCTCACTTCATTCCCTTAATAATATAAGACAGCCAATTCGACCTACCTCGGAGTAAAATATAATTCAACAAGCTAACAGTAAATAAAGTTAGAGATATTCATTTGCCTTATTCTTAACCAATCGAATCAAGAATTTGGTCCTTGTAATCTGAAGTTGACATTTAATTTTGACAGCTCTAAATTTCAACGTTGAAAATGCAGTCGTCACCCGTCGCCAAGTCCAGATGGCCGAACTCGGGGGAACAACGGCCCAGACGCCTCGACCTTTGTCTTTGTACCGCGGGCCCAGCGCCCGTGAGTCGATCCCCTCCCCACTCCAAACCACGCGCTAGCGCCACCCCCACCAGCCGTGCAAATTGTTCTGCCCTCGACGAATCGCAGAATGCGCTCGTTAAGTAGACCTTTAAGCCGATGCCGTGTCGGCTTAAGTAAGTTTGAGTACTAGGTGCATTGGGTATTCGATTGCTTTCCTTTGCGAGCCTTCGACTCTTTCTTTCTTTCACGACTGCTTGCTCGTGCTTTGAAGCGACAATGGCTGCTGAGGATGCTGTGGATGAGGTAACACGGGGGGAACATGCTGCAGATGTACAGGTAGCTAAGCAGGTAGAGCTACATCGCGATGTTGAAGTTGGTGCCGAGGCGATTGATCTTGATGCGATTGAGAGGGTATATGCGTAAGTAACTTTTTTTTTATTTACATTTTTTGCATGTAACACAATGCTTACATGCAATTTAGCAAGCTTGATCGCAGGATACTCCCCGCGTTCTGGGTTCTCTACTTCATGTGCTCGGCGATTCGCTCAAACATTGGACTTGCGCAGACCATGAACCTGGCAGAGGGCCATGACCTCGGATCTGTGCTCGACATCACGCCGAAACAGGTGTCTACGGGTCTGGCGCTGTTCTACGTCTGCTATGTCATTTTCGATTTGCCGTCGAATCTCATCATGTCGAGGGTCAGTCCCCACGCGTGGATGAGTCGCATCGTCACTTGTGTTGGTATCATTGGCATGTGCTTGACTGCTATGAATGCTGCATGGAATCTTTAGTAAGCATCCACTCGGTACTGCCAGACTTTCTCCTCGCTGACCACGTGCAGTCTACTTAGGTTGTTGCTTGGAATTGTCATTGCAGGCATGTGGCCAGGCATGTCGTACTACCTGACTCTGTTCTACCCTCCATCCCGGACTGGAAAGCGGATTGGACGCTATTTTACAGCTTCCCAGATGTCTGCAGCTGTTGTAGGCTTGGTATCGGCTGGATTCCAAAAGATGGATGGTCTCGGTGGACTTGTTGGGTTTCAGTGGATGTTCCTTCTTTATGGTATCGTTGGGTTCATCGTCGGCGTGTCTCTACTTTGGTGGCTTCCAGACAGGCCACTGCCTCCTGGTCAAGTCTGCCAGCGAACAGGGTGGATGAAGTGGCTTCCCCAAAGCAAACCGGCTCTGGAAGGCGAAGACGCGCGTGTTCACTACGAGGATCTCACACGTGTCTACAGTCGTAAGCTGTGGAACATGAAAGACCTGTGGAACGTCATCATCGACTGGAGGATCTACCCATTGGTCGTCATGTACTTTGGTGTGGTAGGTGTCGGCAACGGAACGCAGGCATATGCGACTGTCATCATCCGGGGCATCAACCCAAGCCTGACGAGCATCCAGCTCAGTCTGCTTTCGGCACCCATTTGGATTGTGAGTAGATTGCAGGCTTGGCAAGAAAAGTGAGCTGATTCGTGTACAGATGGACCTGATTGCCATATTACTGGTTACCCCAATCTCGGATCGCTTCCACCATCACCGGCCTGCATTTTTCAGCGCTGCCGTTCTCGTCCAGATCGCCGGACTACTTGTGGCAACGTTTGCAAAAGGGTGGTCACGATACGGCGGGGTTCTGCTCATTGGGTTTGGGCTTGGGCCGACAGTGCCCATCTGCATGGCCTGGTCCAACGAGATCTTCCAGCCGCGGCATGGAGAGGTGGGAGTGGCTGCAGCCAGCGCCCTGGTGTCTGGACTGGGTAACCTAGGCAGCATCTTGACGACTTACGCGCTGTATTCGGGATGGCCTGCAGATGCCCAGGCGGGGCCACACAAGTATCGCAAGAGCAACCTGGTCATGATTGGCATCCTGTGTGGCAGCATTGTCAGCGCAGGCAGCATGGTGGTGTTGCTGAGGGTGTTTGGCAGTGCCAAGGGCAAGCAGGTGAGCAGCGCAAGCTCGACAAGTGAAGGAGAGGCGGCGTATGTGGACGGTGCGGCGCGACGTGAAGCGCAGCAGCGGGGCCTGGGGCGCCTGTTCTGCTTCAAGTGAGGTCGTGGAGCCGGCATTCCATGTCTAACAGTTATGCAAGTCAACATGCTGGAGCTGACAGCATGGTACGCTAGAGGCTAGAGGCAAGCACACAATGCCATGCGGCCTGTTTGGGATGCGAAAGTGAAGAATGCCGTCCTGTGTGTGTTGTATGTATGTATGTGTGTATGTACCGCATCGGGCGCGGCAGGTGAATGAATGAATGGCCGACGGGCAGGCTCGGTAAAGCGTTGAGTGATGGGCGTTTCGACCATGTCTGTTCTGAGCATCGTCATTCTGCGCCCCAGCCCAGCCCACTTCCCCATACTTTGCTGCTCTTTTGCTTGTCTCCTTGTGTTTCCTTTCTTCTCCACCTCGTCTCCTCTCTGCTGCATCCTGATCCCACCTCCTCCTGATCCTGCCCGGTGCCCATCATCCCCCGGCAATCTGCACTCCGCATCATCCCCACAACCTCGTCGACGACGGCGGCGACCGGGTGCTGCACGCGTGCGTTTGGGGAAAAAGCCGCATAATCAGTAATTAGATACGAACCACTTCACCGTTTACCAACCCTACATGGTGATGTTTGTCGCAGCGTCGGGTCGGTAGCAGCGAGCGCACATCACCAGAACATCCGCTCGGCCCTGACGTAAGTTGGTTGCTTGCCTCTGCCCGCTCTGTTACTGCACGGCACTGCACACAATACTGCAACTCGAGCCCTGTACCTGTGCTTCTGCACACTCCCACGGGCCGCCAACAAGCTCTCTTCCTCTCCCTCTTTCTCTCCCTCTCGTTGCCTCTCCCCACCGACGCGCTCCTCTTCGCATGCTTCCGCCCTGCGTCGGCACACCTGCTAACCGGATGTTACCTGTATAGTCCCCGCAGACGCAAACCGCCCTCCAGCCCTACGTATCCCCGCAAAAGCTTCTGGCCAGCGCCTCCAAGCACGACCGGCGCCACCATACCACTCGCCATACAATGTCGGCCGCAATCGATAATGAGGACCTGGAGGAGCTCTCCATCTCCATGCCCTCGCAGCGGCGGGGCGCCGCCCAAACCAGCACAACAAAGGCCCAGGACCCCGCCCCGCCGCCGCCTACTGCGCTCGGAACTGCGGTGCACGAAACCAAGAGCAAGGATACAAAGGCGAGCCAGCGTCTCGGCCAGTACACCATTGTCCGCACCCTGGGCGAGGGCTCCTTCGGCAAGGTCAAGCTGGCCACCCACCAGGTTAGCGGCCAAAAGGTCGCCCTCAAGATCATCAATCGCAAGAGGCTCGTCACCAGAGATATGGCAGGCAGGATCGAGCGTGAGATTCAGTATCTGCAGCTGCTGCGCCATCCGCATATCATCAAGCTGTACGTTGTTTGCCTGTAGCCGCGCTTGCCTCATTTTCATGCTCACTTTTGCTCCCCTAGCTATACCGTCATAACAACGCCGACCGAAATCATCATGGTCCTCGAATACGCAGGCGGGGAATTGTTCGACTACATCGTCAACCACGGTAAACTGCAAGAGGCACAGGCTCGAAAGTTCTTCCAGCAAATTGTATGCGCTGTCGAATACTGCCATCGACACAAGATTGTCCACCGAGATCTGAAGCCCGAGAACCTCCTCCTCGACCACGATAGCAATGTAAAAATTGCCGACTTTGGTCTGAGCAACATCATGACGGACGGCAACTTTCTCAAGACAAGCTGTGGCAGCCCCAACTATGCTGCGCCCGAGGTCATTTCTGGCAAGTTGTACGCTGGTCCCGAAGTCGACGTCTGGAGCTGTGGTGTCATACTATACGTTTTGTTAGTCGGCCGGCTACCCTTCGACGACGAATATATCCCGACCCTCTTTAAGAAAATTGCCGCGGGCCAGTACAGCACACCCAGCTATCTCTCACCAGGCGCCACCTCTTTGATTAGAAAAATGCTCATGGTCAATCCCGTACACCGCATCACCATCCCCGAGCTTCGACAAGACCCGTGGTTCACGACAGACCTCCCAGCATACCTCGAACCGCCCGCGCAAGAGTTTTTTGACAGTGGCGCTGACCCCAACAAGGCCATTGATCCCAAGGCTCTTGCGCCGTTGGCCGACGCGCCTCGTGTGCAGGCGCTGCATGAAAACGTGGTGACAAAGCTTGGAAAGACAATGGGTTATGCAAAGCATGATGTGCAAGATGCCTTGGCACGCGATGAGCCGAGTGCCATTAAAGATGCTTACCTCATTGTCCGAGAGAATGAGATGATGCGGGAGAACCGTAGGCATGACTACTCTTATGGTATTGCCTGTAGCTGACTGTTTATTCTAGCTTTGTTAACCAACCAAGATGGTGTTCCGGTGTGGAATCACCAGTCGCCGCCTGCGCACGACAGTTATATGGAAAAGTTTAGACCACAATCATTGAATGCTGTATCACGTCCGCAATTCATTCCCCCGGCGCCTTCAGACCATGAAAGAGCACGCCAAGGATCCAACGCCAGCAGTCAGCTTGCAAGCATTCGCAGCCCGGTCAGCACCATAGCAATTCTCCCGAGTAGTCTTACAGAATACCACAAGGCTTATATGAAGGGCCACCCAAGGCCCACTAACAAGATTTCGGAAAGCGAGGCTCTCCCACCAACACCTGAACAGACGGAAGAACAACGGCAAATATCGGCTCGAAGACTAAAACCAAATTTCCGTACAATGCCCGAAGCAGGTAGAACAAAGCCGGAGCCGATGACCAGCCTACCTACCAAGAAGCCACGTGCGACCAAGTGGCAATTCGGTATTCGATCCAGAAACCAACCTGCAGAGGCTATGCTTGCTATATTCAAGGCATTAAAAGCCATGGGCGCCGACTGGGAAGTACCAAAGATACGCAGAGCCGGTGGTCGTAGTGGGTCTCGCAGCCGAAGCACCTCTCAGGCCCCAGAAGACCGCAAGTCTAAATCCAGGAATCATTCACAAGACTCTATCTCTTCACATTCATCAGACGAAGACCAGGGCTCGCGGAAGGGCTCGCCACGTCGTGAGCCGCTCAGTGTACGCAACAATGGCACGAGCGAACAAGAAGCAAGAGGTCGACAAAAGAAGCACTACAACCATACAAATGACTGGGGCTACCACGTTCCCGAAGATCCCTGGGTTATCCATGCACGCTTCCTAAAGGAGGGCATGTTCCCGCCTGGTGTTGCGCATCCCTCGTCGACGCACTCTTCACGCGTCGACCTCGCCAACGATTCTTCTGGTGCACGAAGACGGAGTTCGACTAACACCAGCACATCGAGCGCTGGCCATGGTGTCGAAGGCATGACCCCGTCCGAGCGCGCAGGGTCGGTTAGTGAGGACCATGTGAATCCCGATGAAGCAGTATACATTTACATGTCCATCCAACTTTACAGCATCGACCGCGACTTTTTTGTCGTCGACTTCAAATGTGCAGGCTACGAACGCCTCGTCACCAATCTTGTGCGCGAGATCAAGGCCTCAATTCCGCTTTCAGGCTCGCACCAGCCCCCACCGCATCACCAGGACGGCTGGGACGACGAGCAGGGAGTATGGCGCCGACTGGACGAAAACGAGCCACTTCCCGAAGACTTGGCCAAGAAGCTGAATGAAGGGGGCACAGAGATTCTTCGAGAAAGAACGGAACTTGTGGGTGCGGGGCGCCAGGAAGGCGAGAAGATTGTCACAAGTCCGTTTCCCTTTCTCGATGTTGCAAGCACTCTTATCTTGCAATTGAGCGGCGAGTAATTGTGTGCTTGTGTACAATCGAGGGGATGGGGAGAAAGTATGTATGTATAGAAAGTGGGCAAGGATGGGATAGATGCACCACCTAGATTCCGGGATTTTGCCCACTGTAAAGCAGAGAATCCGACCTCTTGATGGTCTAAATGCATTTCACTGCACTTATTCTTACCACTTTCAGTGAAATCTGGAAATACCTCAAACTTCAAACAAATAGTGTACTCATACCGTGTCATCCAGAGTAGGAGATTGTCGTATTAATAGTGCCCAAGTTTCTTTCTTCTCCTCGAACGCTTCTTTCACTTATACTTTGCAAAATCATACCGACAAAGCATTTAAACATAAAACAGGTATCAACACCACACATACATACACACACACACACACACACACACACACACATACATACATGTTTTACCAACAGTCCAGGATATCATACTTTGCCCATCCAACAGAGGTCCCTTTGCCTCAACCAGACGATACTAAATACACGGTATGAACAAAGAGGTGAGAATATTCGTGTGCAACAAGACTGAAGACTGGGGGGATATTGTCATCCTTTTTATCGCATGCCAAATCCTCCAGCAGCGGCACCCATGGCGCCAAGTCTAGAGGCGAGCTTGGGATACTTTTCTTGAACCTATTGAACCATGTTAGCAATTATTCGTCGTAATATTTGTTTCGAAGCCACGAATGGGAGCAGCTTACCTCGAGTTGAGTCCTTGTCGCCTCGGCATAACTTAGCGCGTTAACAATTTCGCCTTCTGTCCTTGAAAGCTCTGCAGCACGCTCAAAGTACTTGAGCGCCTCTGTGACCTTGCCTTGTTGCAACAACAGCTGTGCCATAGTGGCAACGGCAATGTCGCACTCCGGATCGATGATGAGCGCCTTCTCGCATAGCTTCTCGGCTTCGTCGAAGTCGTTCTTCCATTGGAAAAGTGCAAGGGCCTTGTTGATAAGAGGCAGGACGTTCATGCCAAGGGGTTTGGTCGTCTTCTCCATCTCAACGGCAGTGTCGAACTTCTCAATAGCCTCTTGGTACTTTTGCTGGTCGAGAAGTAGTTCACCGTAGTAGTTGTATACATCGGGCACCTGGGAAAAGTTCTTCATACAGCGGCGGAAAGTGGCCATTGACGAGGCGATGCTGCCCATCTTGTACTGTGTAACACCGAGTTGAATGTGCGAGAAAATGAAGTCCTTGTCCAGGTCGATCGACTTTTGGTAGTCCTTAGCGGCCTCGCCAAACTCGGACTTGATAAAGTGCAGTTGTGCGCGGTGGTAGAAAATATCTGGGTCGTTTGCGTTTTGCTCGAGCGCAGCGGCAAAGTCAGCTTCGGCAGCCTCTGGGTTCGCAAGCTCGAGGTGCATGCTGGCGCGCTTGATGAAACTCTGCGTTAGTGTGGGCTGGAGCTCGATGCTCTTGTCCATGTCTTTGAGCGCATCTTCGTTGTCACCTTTAAGGTAGCTGAAGGTTCCGCGCATGTTGTACGCAAACGCCTCGTGTTCTCCGAGATCACCGAGTTCGAGGGCACGGTCAAAGGCAGCAGCAGCCTCGGTGTATCCATCGCCAGTCTTAGTAGCCATGGCCTTGAGACCCTTGCGCAATTGGCCCATGCCACTCTCCTCATCGAGTTCGGCGTCGTCCTCGAGGCCTTCTGGGGTTGGCTTTGGTCGGAAGCTCTGCAGATAGTTTGTGACGAAGGTTGGGCTGGGCAGTTTCTTCTCCTTTGCGGCCAGGATAGCCTTGCCCTTTGCTTCAGCAACCTTCTTCAGTAAACGTTCAACACTCTGTGCACTGTTCTCATTGCGGAACCCATCGATGATGCAGCTCGCGGTGTAGTCCAAAAGGGCTTCGCTGTTGCGCTCAACTTGTTCGTATGCATTCGCTCTCCGGTTCAAGGCCTTGACGTATTCGTTGTCGAGGTTGATAGCGGCAGTAGTGTCGTCAATGACCTTTTCCCACTCCGACATGGCATTGTAGCAGGCGGCGCGGTTGGAGTAGAAGACAGGATCTTGTTTACAGAGAATGGCCTTTCCGTAGAGGTCGATCGCGCGGTTGTAGTCTTTGGAGCCGTAGGCCTTGTTGCCTGCTGCCTTGAGCTTGGCAGCATACTCTTTGCGCTCCTATGAAAAGTCAGCATATATTCTCGAAGCAACCAAGATAGTGTTTAGAGTGCGTGGCTGGCACAAGTTGACCCCGCCATGACCTTATGCAGTTGGGACGATCCATTGACTGCCGCTAGTAGCAAATGCCAAAAGGAACATGACGGAGTCCGCGTGTCCAGATGCCTCGGTACGATATTCTCTGCCATACCTCGTCTGAAAGTGCAGCGACGCTGTTCTCGTCGACATCGGGGAGCTGGTCTTCGGTGGTCTCGGCTACTGTTGCCTTCTTCTCTGTTGTTGCATCAGTTTATGCTCCGCCACAAGCAGCAATGAAGCACATACCAGAGCCCTTTTCGGGGGTCGACTCTTTCTCAGCCCTTTCTTTTGCACGCTTGCGTTCGCGTTGCCTCTTGCGCTTGGCGGCCGATGTGTCTGCTCCGCTGTCGCCTTTTGAATCATTTGAGAAGTAGTATACAACGCCACCAGCGCCCACGACCAGCGTGATTCCGGCAATTGTGTATACAACACCCTTGTTTTCCGAGGCCCAATTTGACAGTCGGTCCCAGAGCGAGTTGTTGCTGTCGACGGGAATCTGGACGGGGAATGGGCCAGGGCCCTGTGGCACAGGTGCATTAACGGGCGCCATATCTGGTGTACTCGGATAATTGTGTTGAGTAGATGCAGTACCGGCGGGAGTAGAAATGGCAGCTCAATGGCGATGGGCTGGTGTGTGTTGGGCCGTTCTGTTGTCGCAGAAATTTGGCTAAGGCAAGCTTTGGTGCAACGACGTGAGCGAGGTGTGTGGCTCGAGCGCCAGGCGGACGTCATCAGCCTTGCCGACCAGCCGTTGTCTGCACCGCCACAGATCATTGTTCCTTTTTAGTACGCATATATGGACGTACATATTGAGTATATCATCTTCATATCAAGGTAGTTTACATGAAATCTCTCTTAGATACGATGTTGTTTTCCGTGACAAGTCAACGTTGCCGCTGACAGTTTGCACTGAAAAGTCCCCGCTAGTTCTTCATGGGTCTGGTGGCGCCAAAAGTTCACGCAGATCCTCGCAGGTTTCTTGAGTGTCTACGTCAAGTCTAAAATCTCTGAAAGTTCCCTTTGATACCCAAACTACTCGATCGCATTTCCAAAGTCAAGCTATAGAACCCAGTTCATGAATGTCCACAATTTTAATAACCAACAGTGGTTTTGCTTTCGGTTCAATCGCAACACTTTTAGTCTCGTACTTCTGTAATTACTTCTACCGTCAAATACTATCATTTCCACGAAAACAGAAAGGTTGCCTAGAATGGATTGGGACGATCGTCTTGTGATATAATCTGCTAGAGCAAATGGGATTTCTACCCCTCAGTTACACGAGTACGATATCCCTAATTGCGTATGATTCGTCCTCACAAGCTTGACCGTCCATCATACCATGCACATAACACTCACCGACAAACTCATAGTGATTATCCTCACGATCCCTCAACACGTAGAGAACTTGTCCACCTAGCAGAAGGCAAACTTGGTCATCTACTTGGGCGGCTGCTGGTCCCAATCCCATAAAGCCTCGACTTGTTTCAAACAGTCTTCTCCCAAATGTCATTACATTTGCATCAATAAGCATCCAGCTCTGAATTTGACGATCTTCAGCAGACATTTTGTTCCTATCCCGATTGGCTAACTCCCAACTGAAGGTGAATCCTCGTGACAACTCAAAACCTTGTTTGAGGTTTCGTCGACCTATATCAGTCACTATAGTGTGATTGAAAGCTTCCATTACCGTCTCTCCGGTGAAATATTGGTTGCTGGGGTCTGCTGGTACCCATGATCGTTGAGTGTCAAGCCCTCCATCAACTAGATTCCCCTCGCATACACTTGATACTCGAATGATGTGATCAAGCACTGATCCCTGGACACATAAATGCGCCCCATCGATGTAGCATTGCCCCTTGAGCCCTTTGCTAGCGTTATAGGCGTTGTGACTTGCTCCATACGTATCCGAGTCTAACAACTTTTCAAGTGGATGGAAGGATCCTCGCAAAGTCCAATCTGGTGTCCAGGACGGTAGTGCCCTCCCATGTTGGTGATCGAATACAGTTCCTGGCGCTGATCTGAGTACCGCTCCTAGGAAATCTAGGCAATGGTTGTTTGGTTTTGATATGCAAAACTTGACGACATCAATGTAGACTGCTGAGACCGACTTTGTGTAGTCTGGAGTGATATCATCCTCGTTCACGTCCATGGCCATTCCTAGAGCGGCATATACCTTGTCACGAGGATCTCCACACTCGTATGCTCGAATATTTCGAAGCACTTCCAACAACCGAATGTTCGCTCCATTTTCCCTATCAGATCGAAAAGTATCAAGACGGTTGGCCATGGCATCGCTGAAATCAATAGACATGTCCATACTAAAGCGTAGATAGTGTGTGATATGAACGTGGATCCGAAGGGCTGCTCGTAAATGGGTCCAATCAATGCTACGACTTCCGCAAAATAGTATCGTGCGAGCAGGATTGGCAACAGTTCCCTCCTGTACAATCCATGCTCTTCCCCACCAAGGCCGACGATATAGCATGCGTAATGCCTCCAGTGCCTTGTGTTGTTCCGAGCCACGTGGACCAAGATAGAAATCGTCATTCGGAGAGATGCTTGCGATTGCCAACTCCTCGGAGCCATTGAACTTTTCTTTTAGTCTGTCGAGTCTCGCCTTCCATTCCTTCATTTTACTGAATGCGAGATCGCTTCCATGTACAGCTGGGCCAAGCCAAATTGTAACGATCTCCGCCGAACGGTAAATTGAATTCATGAGTCTGACTTGCAGGCCGCGCTCATGATCGTCTGCCTGATTAATGCAAATCGAATCTGCCCAGAACATCATACTTCGTTCTCTTGCAAAGATGAAAATGGCATCAATGGCCTCAGCCAGGCTCCGAGTGATGGGAACCTCACTTCCATTGACGAGGATCACTCTCGATAATTCCGTGCTTCCCCAAGTATACGACAGAGCTACATATGGCGGGGCTTTCTCAACCTCGACTGTGATCATCTGGCAGATTGGGCTGGAACCGGGTAGAAACTTGATCAACCTAATCGCTCGACTAGACCGAAGGGGTTCATAAGCGAATCGTACCATATTCTTCAAATGCGGCGCCACTCCTCCGATGGAAAGATAATACGTTGGAAGAAGGCAAAAGTATGTCCAGAATCACGAACGCCGAACTCGGTTGCCTGATCAGGCTCGCACCTAGCTATCCGTTTAGCGAACACCATGAGCATACAAGATGATAACATGCCAAAGAATTACCTCGAGAAAGAGATTAGGCTACGCTGCTGCTGTGTGTTCTTATTAATTGAGGTGGAGATGGATCAGGCTGAAGTCGCAAGTGAGATGTGGATAGTTGGACAGCCCAGACTGTGGCGCAGTGAGACCAACATACCTACATCTAAATGACATGCATAAACATCCCATAGACGCTAGTACAGAGGGTGACCGACCTGCTCTAGACATGGTCTTGCGCCAGTGGCGATCATTCGTAGATATAACTGAACATTGCAATGCTGTAGCGTAGTGAGATAGGTTTAGAATATGTACGTAGGGTCTTCCTATGCGTAATATCCAGGGTTCTAGTAATACTTATCCCCTGCGAACACGAACAATCCAAGGCCCCTCACGACCCTCATAGGTCGAACTAGAGCACCGAGGTAGAACACCTCTCTACAGCCCTAAATATCGCAGTGCTCATACTAAGAGATGATAATTGTTTGATGGTACAACAGCTGTATATCTACTTTTGCGGTTGCAACGATCACGCCTCACTAATAGTGCTCAGTTGAACACACTTGCCGCATCGCAGGCTTTAGTTACGTTGACGACCGCTCTCTACCACAATCTGTATCTTTCCTATCACATTGTGTTCCCCTTCGAAGAGCAGGAGAGCCGACCAGAATTCGGCTATCGCTTGGTCTAAGAATCGGCGCGGGTGGGCCCGATCAGTATGAGGATGCGGTGGACTCGACTAAGCCGTTTGTTCGACCGATGGGGGGAGCCACAGCATTCCCTAGAGCTGGAGGGCATCCAATGATTTGTTCCTACGATACAGAATTGGGTATCGCCGTGTGCTGGACTGTGACTTGAAGGTGCACGGAATCGCTGCCGCAGTTGACTCCGATGGTGGCTACTAAGTGAGATGCCGCTCACTGCTGATTGGACGACTGGCGTTCAGACCCATTTTTAATAGTGTACAACGCATCTTCGACATTCCGCATCCTCGCAACAGTCATAGAGCAATCCCACTATATTATGATAACCGCTCCCTACAACAAATCTGCATCTCAAAATGGCATCTGAAAACGAGTTCCAACTCTTCACATCACTGCGTTACGATCCACTACTTCTCAAGTCCGAGGAGAACTCGCGCTCGATTCTAAACTTTGTCGCCCCATCGCCATTCTATATGCTTGCATATCATCGAGACCGGATGGTCGAAGCAGCACAGCACTTTGATTTTGATGAAGTGCAGAAACGGCTTGAGGATGGTAAAGCTCTGCATGAAGAGTTGTTGAAAAGAACCAAGGCTGAGATAGAAAAGACTGGAAAGGATCGAGCAATGAAGGTATGATACCAAGACATCACATGAGAAAAATATTGACGTTACCCAGCTGCGACTGCTGTTCGACAAGGCAGCAAATCTTACAGTCGAGTTCACAGACGTGCCAACCGTGCCACTTTCTACTCTCTACCCTCCATCACTAGACCCACCAAATGCAAAAGTGCAGCACGCCTCTGCAGCAGCTTTCAAAGCATCTCCGCTGACAGGAGGCGCCCTGACCCTTGGTCCCGAAGATTCGCTTCCGGCACCAACATCGACACCCCCGCCCCCACCAGAATGGACAATCAGGCTAGACACTGCACCCACCCCATCCTCCCCATTCACCCTCTTGAAAACGACAAAGCGAGAAATGTACGACCAAAGCCGCGAGCGTGCTCTACCTGAGAATCCCGCAGGTCCCGCTTACCGTGAAGTCATGCTCTACAACGAAGTCAATGAGCTTACTGAGGGTACTCTCACATCACTTTACCTTTTCCGTGGCGGTCGCTGGGTAACTCCTCCTGTTGGCGTGCCATCCGGCGAGTTTACTAGCAAGACGTTGAAAGACGATGGCGCCGATGAAGGAGAGCTGAGGAAACCGTTTGCTGGTCGATGGGGCCATTCAACGAGGAGTGCCAAAGTCGGTGCTGGAGGTCAGAGGGGTACGAGTAGGAGATGGGCACTCGGAAGTGGGTATTGTATGGAGGAGCCCGTTAGTATTGAAACTGTGGAGGTGGGCGAGGGTGTATGGGTGAGTAACGGGGTAAGAGGTTTTGGTTACGGGAAAGTGGTGGAGTAGAAGATGGTGTTGCTCTTTTGGCTACAGAGACTTGTGGTCTTGACAATATCTAGATATGAAAGTTATCTGAGTGAAGATCTGAGGCGCCCCATGCTAAGAGATATTTGGCCGTAACTACTCTTAAAGTGAATTTGTGGAATCGAAGTTGAGTGGTGCGCGGAGTACGAGAGCAGCAAGTGATAGGAATCTGAAGAAGAGGGGTGTGGAGATTGACAGTCTCATTTCAGAGATTTCGGATGAGCAGAAGGGCGTTTTCAGGCCGTTATTATGATATCCATTAAATTGGACGGGTGAAGAATTGAGATTCAGTGAGGTATCTATCAACAACACTCTTTTCACGTCTAAGCTGAAGGGATTTCCCGATTCCTTCGACAAAATATGATACACTCATAACGCATCCATTAGCCGTATTGGCCTGGTCATAACTCAAAACAACTGTCACTCTTCGCTAGTTCTTTTTGCTCCTTGCGCGCCACATCGGGTTCAAATAATAAACAGGAATACCGAGCAGGAAAATGGCACTGAAAATACCCGCCAACACACCAAACGCCCACTTGTATCCATGCTTTGCAACCATGGGCGTGAGTCCATACGTAAGACCAAAGGAAACAATATTCTTGGTCCCCACAACAACAACCAGCGCAGGCCCGGGATGCTGCGCCCCAGCCTCAGACGCAAACGTCGTAGACACGATGAGCACGGCAGTAAACGTGTATTGGAACAGTGTCCACGCCATGTATGGACCCCACCAAGTTGCACCGCCTCCGGCAGTGAAGCCGTAGAGAACCAGCATTGCGGCACCGACTATACCTGGTGGGATGAGAACAATGAGATGGTGTTCCGGTTTGTGAATGCCTTTGTTTTGTCGCGCAGCGTAGAGAACGAAATTATCGCCGATGAATGTGCAATACACCATTCCGAACACGGCGCCAATGACACCACCGACGTTGATAAGCCCAATGTTCTTGACATCCCATCCGTAGTTCTCGTTTAACACGGCGTTGTACGTCAGCGACATGCCAACGCTGCAGCCAAGGGCAACCGATGAACTCAGGATGGCAAACAGGATACCTGGGGAGGCCAGACTCTGCAGCATATGCAGATACGTCATAACCATAATCTTAACCGGCTGTTTCTGAACCGGTGACCAGGGTCGCAGCTTCTGAAGGTACGTCTTCCGTGGTACATCGGCCTCATTCGCGTCTGCAACGGGTACGCTCAACCCTGCATCGCCCACCCGCGCAAAGTAATCCTGCGCCTCTTCATCCGGGATAACCTTCGTAACCCCAAATTCATCCGTGAAAATCAGTAAACCATCCAAGCTAGCCGGCGACCGCGTGAATTGTGTTTCAAAGGCCAGCAAAAACGCAATTACGAGTCCAAACCCGATTGTGATGACGAAAACCCAGTAGTACCACCGCCACCCCATATCCTCATTCAGATAAGTACTCGCCAGGTTGATAGAAGAGCTAAGCGCATTCTGAACCGTCCAGTATAACCCGAAAATCCGGCCGCGCTCATGCAAGAAGGTGATTTCTGTAAGCATGAGCGGGAGCAGGGATTCGGACGAGCCCGTTGCGAGACCCTGTACGATACGCGATGCAAGATGGCCATTGTAACTATTTTGCACAGCAGCGGCGATAGTAGCCACGAACAAAATTACCATGGAAACGAGGAAAACCGGACGACGACCGTATGCTAATCCTAACGGGAGGATGATGTAGTTTCCTGTCCCACGTCAGATTCTGTAAAATCAGTGTCTTTGGGGTTTGAGAATTACTTTACCTAATCCAATGCATAGCGTCGGCAGTGTAATCAAAAACACAATCTCATCAGGCGTATACCCCTGCGGACTATACATGTCGAAAAATACATTCAAGATGGCGCCGAGACCGCCGGCAATCGAAAGACCCATGATGGAGAACCAGCAGCAACAGAATATGATGCCGTATTTTTCCCAGCGAGAGAAGTTAAGTGGATCGTTGGGGTTGGATGAGGGGACGGGGATTTTACGGACTTGGCCGTCTTCACGGACGAGGAAGGCGTTGCCTTTGACGTGTGAGTGGCCATCGTCTTTGGAAGTTTGAATATCTTCTGTGTAGTTGATTTCGGCATCGAGTTTGTGGTCCAGCGAGTCGTGTGGGTTTGATTCAGCCATCTTGGATGGATGACACTCTAATAATCGAGTTTCACTTAGTATCTATGCTGAGGACAATGCGAAGAACAGGCGGACACGCCCTTATGCTTAACCTAGCCAGTCATCCCCCCACCCAGCTTGCAGCTGAATCCAGAGGCTACCATCCTCGAGGAGTATGGAGCCACAATATACGTACTTCTCCACATTCCGCTGCAAGTGGCAGAGGGCTAGACTTGTCTGCGATGTGAAACGGGCGAGTACGGGGATGTGAAAGGGAACTTTCCCTTTACTGTGAAGATCGGAGGATAGGTGCCCGAGTCGTGAATCATGTTCCCGTATTTCTCAATGCCGAGGATGCAGGGTAAAGTTGAACTGACCAATGGAATTCAGGTTGTTTGGCCTGCAACAAGGAGAAATATATGGGGAAGATTACTAGTACTAAGGGCTCGAGCAGAAGTCTATATGGGTGATACAAGTACTAGCGCTCACCTCCCGACACGCTAGCTGCCCACATCGGAAGTTGACGAATCGTTCGGTAGATTTTCACTGGTGAGCAGAACAACCGAAGTGGCGAAGGATAGAAGGGTGGTAGGCACGGAATATGCGGGCATAGTAACTAGAAATGAAGTGCTTCGGGACGTGGGCAAAAATACTCCCTCATGATCTCAACTAGTAGTAGTACGTAGTAGTAAGTAGTATTGGAGGAAAGCTCAACACGCCACTCATGCAGTCGAACTAACAGCCCTCGACTTCTGCCACTCCACCGCCCCCTTATACTGGAAATTATAATCCATAAACTCATCCGGTCGCATCTTAATCTCGCTACTCCCCTTCTCCGTCGCCGGCTTCGCCGAGTCACGACTGAACTTCTGGATCAAACTCGCGCGCTCATATCGCGCTTCAAACACCTGGTTCAAGCATGCCGTTATCTCTTCTGACTTGGCTGGTGGCCCTTTTAGAGTGTTGAGATATGCACCAAGAGCCTCTGCATCCTCGATCGCCTGACTCGCGCCTTGACCCTGCGTGGGTAGCATGGCGTGTGCTGCGTCGCCGATGAGGATGACGCGGCCGCGGACCCAGGTATCCAGCGGATCGATGTCGCGAAGTTGCCAGAGACCGATGCGGTCGGGGAGCTTGAGCATGTCTTTAGTCCATTCTGGAAAGTCTTTGAACGTCTCGAGCATCTTTTGTGGGTCGCCTTCTGTCACCCATGATTGTGCTTTGTCGGGGTCTTCGTTCATTTTGTCGTCGGGGACGAGAGCAACGACGCTGAATATTTCGCCGTTGCGGGCGGGGCCCATAATGAGGCGGCAGTTGTGGGCTATGAACATTGATGTGTAAGGCTCGGAGGGATTGATGTGGGCTGCGAATTCTGGTGCTTTGTCCCGGATTTCTTGTGAAGTTATCATGAGTCGATAGCATGAAGTGCCTGTAGGCTTGGGCTTGGTTTCCTCTCCTGCTACTAGAGGTCGCAAAACGCTGTGTATGCCGTCGGCGCCGATGATGATATCTGCTTGAATTGTTTCTCCACCTTCTAACTTGATGAGTCCCGCCTCGCAATCGCAGTCGACAACACGGGAAGAGGTCTGCAATACAGGAACTGGTCCACTTCTCACAGGATCTTTGACGACCTTGGTGAGTTGTGCATGCAAGTCTTGTCGATGCCACATGATGCGGTCGGCTCCATATTTCTTTTGTACGAGCAATGGAATTTCGTTAACCATTTTGCCATCCGAATTAAAGATACGGAATCCACTATCCACCATGCCATTCGAAGCTTCCAAGAGATCTTTGACGCCCCATGTTTCCTTTATAATGCGTGTCGCATTTGGCTGAAGAGAAATCGTTGCGCCAATCTCTGACGACAGTCGTGATTGTTCAAGAATGGTGATCTCGCGATTCGGGCCTCGTAAGGCAATAGCAGATGCTAGTCCTGCGATGCCACTGCCAACGATGACGATCCGAAGAGGTGTTTGTGAAGCCATGATGAGACGAAATAATAGAAAAGATAGAATTAGGTAGAAAAAGAATGGTCAAGATAGGATTGACATGATGAACTTGAAGTTGTTATGCCGAGAGATCATACGTACGCCCACCTCCACATTACGAATGTTGACATACATACATATTCCATCGAGAAGCCGAGGGTTAGTTGCCTCCAGGATTAACAAGGTTAGAGTATAGTTGCATGATCAGCACACGGTTAGGAATAGTTGGGGTGGACTTCGGAACGGTTGACATCCGAAACTATTATCCATCGGAACATGTGGGGGTGGAGCCGTGGGCGTGGCGTGAGCCTCATCATGCACAGCCAGCACGAGGTGGTTGCAATTGAAAGATAAAAGCGATAAGACCGACCAAAGCTAAGCAACAATTTACCAAATTAAAACCTACCGCTTTGGGACGACAAAAGCTCCATTTGCACCTACATCTCATCTCATCTAAGTTCATCATGATCACGACCACGACCAAGGCACCAACCCTCACCTTGAGCGGCGTTCAAAATGTGCCCATGAAGATGGATGGCACAGATGCCAAATTTGGAGACTGGCGAGATGACCTCGCACGGGACGGCTATGCTGTCATCAAAGGAGCTATTCCCCAAGAAAGGGCGTTGAAATACGCAGACCGCATGTTCTCATGGCTAGAAGGCTTGTAAGTTCTTCAGAAACCCGCCTTCCTTACTCATCCATATACTAATGAGACTGCATTAGTGACCTCGGATTCGACCGCAATGATCTGTCCACAGCACACAAGGACAAGCTACCGCTCATCAACGAAAAGGGCATGTGCATGCACTACGCCGTCACACACGAGGACTTTGCTTGGGACATCCGCGGCGAACCAGGCGTCGTCAGTGCTTTTGAGAAGGTATACAACGACAAAGACCTCATCGTCTCCTTCGATGCGATCAACTTTACTTTTCCCGGCCGCACAGATATTGCCCCCAACAAGCCGTGGCCACACCAAGACCAGAACCCAGAAAAGGCCGGATTCCGCTGTCTACAGGGTCTCGTCAACTTGCTTCCCAACGGCCCAGACGATGGCGGTCTCATCGTTTGTCCCGGTGGCCATTTGCTCTCTGAGGAATTTCACGCCGCTATGAAAGACGAGCCACGTATCCCAGCGTGGACGCCCGAATGGTTCGGCTTTACAGAAAACGGCATGAAGTGGCTCGCAGACAAAGGTCTCACATGGACCAAAGTCTGCGCGGACCCAGGCGATCTACTCGTCTGGGATAGCCGCACGCCGCATTACAACCTGGCCTCGAAGACTCAGCAACCAAGATTCGCGATATACACGTGCTATATGCCTGTGGCGAATGCTTCGCAGGAGGACTTGATTCGCAAGAAGGATGCGTATGAGAGGTGGGTTGGCACAACTCATTGGCCGAATGCGATGCATACTGGTTCCAATGTTGCCACAAGGGATGGGGTGGAAGACCCGCACAACCGCTTCGAGCCCGTCAACAAGCCAGTCATGAATGAGCGGACGTTCAAGTTGACTGGCATTCCCTACATCAAAAACTAGCGTGGGGAATGCAAGAAGGATATTTGTGACTGAATTATTTTTCCTCTTCTCCAAGTGCCTATAGCGTATTGCCTGTATGATGTCATTTAGCATCACGAATGATCACTATGATTAGTCGACTTAGTTTGAAGGCATGTAGAATAATGTACCCCATCTTTCTGAGTTTGAATCCAAGGAAGTGAAATGTGGTAGGGGAAGTAGAAAAGTTGAAATTGGAGAAATGTCAGACGTAGTAACTTCCTAGCAAAGCACATGGGGTATCAATGTCGTGCTAAACGCCGCAAATTACACCAACTCTCATGCTGCAGAAATGTCACCTTTGGAGGTCTCTCTGTCCTTGTCGCGTTTTTGGGACCCTTTCCTTCGTCTTCGCTCAACCTTGTATACATCGTTGAAATTAATATTAACAGCCAGCATTTTAAGCTCGCCATCGGGGGAGTGCACCAGGTCACCGAGAAGAAGGTTGATCCTGGCCTTGAAGTCCTCAGCCAGATGACTTAAGCGCTTTTGAAGTGCTGGTAGTACGTCATCTTCGACAGACCCAGTCATACCCATTTTCAGCAATGGTGGCGGGAAAGGTGAATCTGCATCCTGGTTGGTAGAAGCTGCACGCGATCGCGCAAAAGGATCTGGAGTCGAGCTACCGTGGTTGTCCTTTTCAGAGAGACCCCACCTGCCGGCTGCGGTTCGCGTCTCAATCTTAGCAGCATGTTCTTGTCTTCGAGTAAACTCTGCAACTGAGCACGAGTACAATCCATCTACCGCGTCTTTGTATGCTAGCATGGTTTTTAGCAGCTCGTGCAATTGCGCCGTGAAATCCGTAGTAGTGCTTCCAAGGAGACCTTTCCTGGTAATGTTGTCGAGGTACCTTGCGTGGGCTTCGATCATGTCATCGAGTGTGCTTTCTGGCTTGTTGAGTGCTCTTTGCAAATCAATCCACGAAGACTCGATAACCTCAAAAAGAATGTAGTGCTGAAGCTGGTTGACAAAGTGGACCATCTCGGCCATAGCGCAGCGCGCTTTCTTCCAGTCAGAGCCCATCTTGTCTGATACAGTGCCCAAAACGCCACGCGCACCGGTCATGCAGCGACGCCATGTAGAACCAAGGGCGAACTCGACACGCTTTACTCTCCATAGGAAGTTGAAGACTTTGAGATATTGCTTGGACCCAAATGGAGTCACAATGACATCTACAGGAGCATCGATCTTGTACTCGAGCGTGAAGACGTCCCATCCAATCTCGCCATGCGACAGCTCCAACATGCGAGAGTCGAGTCGGCGAAGAACATCTGACGTGTCGAATTGTGCGTTGGAGTTTCTGACAGCGTGTTCAAGCTGAGCAGTGAGCGTGTGTCGGTACTGGGTGTTGGCAGGTCTATCGAGATTTGACGAGAGTGATTCCATGAGTACGGCAATGAAGTCACCAGCGCCAAGCAACATGTACTTTTTCAGTGCTTGCAAATGGTCAAATAGCTTGAACTTGTTCGCCATGAGATCAATCAGACGAGCCATGGTGGTCTTGTAGGCGTCGCCGATGGATCTCTCCAGATTTGCGGTATCGCCGTATTGCAGCTCCTTGGAAGCCTTTTTAGAGTATGTGTCAACCCATGCTGCATCTCCGCAGCCATAGCGAATAAAGTTTAGTGTCTTGCCGATGAGGAAGACCTTTTTTGCAAAGTCCTCAGTGACAATGGTAGGAACCATCTTGTCGTTGAGTCTGTACTTGTCTTCCCATACACTTGTAGCTCCACCCTTGCCTTCGTTGCCATTTGCTTCGAGAATCTCGTCTTCGCTCTGCTCAGAGACGAAGAATTCTGCAAATGGATCAGCCAGCTCGCCATCGTAGACCCACTGCCTCAGCATGTCATAGAATGGACGGGTGACATCGGAAAGAAGGCGCTCGGCAAAGTTCATGACGTAGGGGTCGCCGTGGTTGAGGGAGAAGGAATGGATGAGTGCAATCAGCTCGCCGCCTTTCTTCTTCTTTGATTCTTCTACCATCAGGCTCATGAGTCGCAGGCCCATTGTCGGCTCTCTGATCCATATGACACACCGCTTGAGAGTGACTCCGGCCTTGCTGGCGCCCTGGTGCGCTGAGCCCTCACCGAGCTGTGCCAAGGCCCTCTTGATCTGGCCTTCGAGCGTAGCAACCAACCCGAGGTACGCCCTCAGCTCCTTAGCTAAGGCTGCGCGGAAACTCTGCTCTATCAGGCCACCCTGGCTCTCATCGACAAACTCAGCAAGTCCTTTGTACAAAATAGCGGGCTCAGCGAGGGTATGCAGGAGGCTGATAATGGGCACAGGGAGCGTCGGTGGAAGTTTGAGGGCCGTCGAAGAAGGGAATGTCAGATTGGCAGATGAGTAGCCCTGTAACGTGAAAGGGAGCTCGCGTAATAGGGTCGGTTCTGAAGGGCCCAATTCTGGCTTTTCGGCGGAGTTGGCTGTTTTGGCCTGCTGCTCTTTGGTAGTATCTTGGGAGCGTCTCTCGCGCCGTTTCTCTGGCTTTTCGGCAATCGTCGGTGGGCGTGAAGGTGCTTTGGGCGAGCCGGCATTGATGGGTAGCTGAGCAAGGCCGGGCTTTGCAAAGGCGTCCTGGAATGCTGGAGCAGAGGCGCGCTTGGAAGGCGTAGTAGGCTCTCGGGGAAAGCTGCGCAGGTCCTGGGCGACAGGCGCATCTGGAACTGGCTCGCCATTATCTGAGAGCTTGTACAGGAAGTAAAGCATTCTCCATTTCTGGTCCAGCACTGTCTGTGTCTCGAGGCGTGAGAGCAAATTATGCAGACGGGCGCTCTTGTGCTGATCGTTGCGTGGGCCCGAGACTGTTCTATGTTAGTGATGCGTTTTTTATTTTCACAATTCACCACATAGAACGCAGCACCATCACTCACCCTTGCGGTCCATCAGGCTGGCGATGTGGTGGACATCTGGGACCAGGGCGGGATCTCCTGCCGACGTGAGTTCGTCAATGGCAAACTCAAACGCGTCTTCGAAGCGCTGGTTGGCGGCCTCTTCATCATCGTTGGGGTCCTCGGGTACTATGCGCACCAGCAATTCGTTCAACGCGTGTTCGACGCGCTCACGGTGGAGTTTGGCCATGGTGGCGCGTTGTCTGGTTGTGGTGTCGACACTCACCAAACACCATCGCGGCGGGGCAGCGCCCGTGCGCCGCTCCTCAACATCGTCATTGCTCTCCTCCCCCATGCCCCTACACTTTACACACCACTCACGTAGCACCGCCCTGAATCCATCATTTCCGTGCTATCCATGATTTCCATATCTTCCTCTACAAAATTCACCGTCTGCAACCAGCATGGACTACCTTCACTACACATTGACACTCATTCGACCGTCGATGACATTTCCAACGCCCTTCACCTTGTTGCTATAACAAATTTAGATAGACAGCTTATGGATAAGTCCAGTTGGAAGCCTAATATAAACCTGGTTATCCACCAAAATTCACTGTATCTGTGGCGTTTGCCTCTCTCTCACCTCTGCTACCCTGTCCCTGTGCCTTTGTTTCTCCAGGTGAGAGACGATGTCAGATACGGGCCATCGATACTGCCTATATAGATCTCACCCATACCTATATCTCCCTTCTCTTCTCCTCCAACATCCACCAGAAAGGTCGCTCAATCGGCCAAGACATGATGACTACGCCCTATACTACACCTCCCGGTTCCTCGGAGAGACGCGCCAGCATCGGCGAGACCTCTAACCCGATCGTTATTTCGTCACCTAGCCCCCAGCTAAAACCATTCAAGCCGCACCAGTGAGTATATAGTTGTGCTTCGATGCTCAGTTGCTAACACTGCTTCTAGGATGCTCATGCAGACTCCCGTCGAAATCGAGTGTGGTCCAGATCTCTCTATCAAGCTTACTATTCATGAAGAGCTCCTGCGTTGCCATAGCGAACTCCTCCAGGATCGCTTCACCAAGGCCAAGATTCTGAAAAAGCAGTTTGAACAGATCGATCACCTTCGTGACCAGATCGCAGCACATGTCTTCCCAGAGGTCACTGCAGAGGATTTTTCAGCTGGAGATCACGAAGAAAAGGTAAGCTTCCCGAGACAAGTTGGAAAGAACGGACCCCGTAGTTATCATTGACATTACGGACAAAGTCCGTTCGATCCGGCATCAGTTTGAAGACGCCATATTAAAGTGACTGTAAGCACTGCCTCTCATTATTCGCGCGCATGAGAGATTCCCTATGCCTGGCTACGGACAGGCTATCAAGAGACTGATCGACGATGCAACGGGAACAGAGGTGCAGTTGAAGCGTGTCAAGACACGCATGCTACACGACGCCATTCGGGAAGAAAATACAAAAGTACGTCTAACCTACATCAGTGCCTTCGGTTTGCACGCAATCACAGAGAAACTATTTGCTGGAATCCACCGAATCAACAAGAGGGAATTTGATAAAGCCAAAGACGATGTTGTGCGAGCTGCAGCTCAGAAACGCATCCTTCTACCAGAAGCGGAGCCAGCTACTATTCAATCGGTAATGGGTTGGATCTACAAAGGAAAACTGGACTGCGAAGACCCGCAAGAGCTCTACGGCACGCTACAGCTCGCCACACGACTGGGCTTCAAGGCCCTGGGTGAGTCTTGTCACTCCAAGCTGTACAATGCCGCCAATGATAGGATCCAAGACGCCTTAGCCAACGGCATATCGCTCAAAACCCTGCTGGGATACGGGCCTGGTCCAGGTGATCGCGTCATGGAAGTAGTATTCAAGCATGCATTCAAGGATAATGACACACCGAAGAGGCTTCGAGAGATGGTCGTCAACACCCTGGCCACCAACCTCAACGCAGCACTGTGGACTGAGATCAAGGACGTGGTCAGCCACAGCATGGCTTTGCAGATCGTTGAGGCAATGCTGGAATATCAAGAGCAAGTTGCGGAAGGTCTACTTGACCATGCCGAGATCAAGCATGAGGATGAAAGAGTTCGTACTGTGTCCCCAATGCCTGCCATCAAGGACTGATCATGAAGATGGGTTTGGAGGTGAGGTGGAATTTACTTGGAAATGTTTGCCGAACCAAGCACGATTGGTGCTTTTATCAGCACCTCCACTCAAGGTCTACACACACACATTACTGATGCATCTTCTGGTTTCTTTTCTATGAGAAATTGGTTGCTTTCATTGCTTTCTGTCTTCTTCTTTATACTCAGGTTTCACTTAAACTTGATTATTTTCACATAGTTTGTCAGTTTTCCCCCCAGTAATCAACGATTTACAATATAATTCAACAACCTACTATCTTACAACTGAAGACCTCCATCACTGTATCCCATGCAGTCTAAATCACTGACTCTATGTGCCCTCCATGCCAGAGTTTTCCAGATATGCCTCAACTTTATGTCGAGTTCAATCATCAATAGTCTTCTTACTTGCACAGTCTCGTCGACAGCAATGATGACGTAGAACCAAAGAACAACCCTACATTAAGATCAAGAAAAGTTCCGCTGTTTCGATAGTATCCTTGTGGGAACTTGCCTGGAAAATTTTGGGACGATTCAAGACACACATAAGAAACTATTTCTCCTCTTCTCCAGCTTGAGGTGCAACAGCGACTCGTTCTGCAGCAGCGATTCTAACATCGGTTTGCTTTGCACCACGTGCTCCAATGACGGTGTTCTTTGGAGCGTGAATAACGGTTGGTTGTGGAGCACTCAACGCGAGCGCTGCAAATGCAAGCGACAGGGCAAAGGAGAGCTTCATGTTTGCGACGGAAGACAGCGGTTTTCGAAAATGTAGTGTTTGCTTCTTGTGATATTCAGAGAGCCGATGAGATGGGAGAACTTAGAAGGAAGTGCCTACCACGTGGTTTTATATCACACATATTATACATTGTGAACGTTGCTCTGACGAGTTCACACGACACATGATGCAGAACTTCATCAGGTTGTCTCACGGCTCAATCCATATTGTCGATACAACGTAGAACCTGTCGCATTAGAGTGCGGCCGAAACATGGAATACCCCGTAAAGATCTACTTAGAAGGATTCGCCTGAAGTTGCTGCAAAAGGTTAGCGTAGGTACAATTAAGGTATTACTGAAACGGGTCTTTGAACGGGCTAGTGTCGGGCGAACGGGCTGCTACAATCACAAACAGAGGTCATGGCTTGTGATAAGACACTAAAAGGAAATCTTATAGATCTCGATGCTGATGAGTTCGGAGATCGTCTGACATGCATTAAGCATATCGGACGCAGGAGTCAGAATGGGATCGCGACGGATCGGAGTTCTAGCGAATAAAATAGCAGTGTTGTTTCAAAGCTCTCGAACAGGACAAACAAGCAGACCCTCATGACATTATATTGATCAAATCGATACTAGGAATATTGAACGTATGATCATGGTGACATACGCGCTATTCTCATCGTGCTTAGTAGTCCGGACCAATTTTCTCCTTTATCAAAGTCCACAATGACGAAGTAGGCTTGCCAGAAGAAACACAAGCATCTTCCCCGACGTCATTCAATCTGAATCTCCACCTCTAAACCTAAGCAATCAAATCCTCTATCTTGCTTTTCTCTAATCTCTATGTAACGTCACTCTTTCCAAGCCCATCCAAACTAGCTTCCACCAAATTTACTGGGCGCCAACCGCAGCACCCTTTGTGTCCACCCCCACACGTCCTACAACTATACCCTCCACCCGGTCCGCATCCTTCCCTACGGGAAACCCCACTGTACAACTCTCTGCCCATACATCTCGTCCATTCTCGCGTCCCCACTCTCGCTATCTCCCCAAGCCACCGAAAACCACACCAAAGTAGTCGTGTGCAACACTCCAAGTCCAAGTCCAAATTTTAACCGAGGGCATTCTTCTTTCGGTGTAACATGCGGGTGCGAATCGATCGGATCTGGGCCGCGGGTGATACGGTGCAGACTCGAGGAAAGGGGGGTGAGGTTCATGTTGTGTCTGCAAGGATACGGGAGGTTCGCGTGGGGACGGAGAGATACATTGAGGACAGTGACATCTGACAGCTAATGACAGCGGGTTATAGTCCTGATATACAATATACCCTTTACTCAACCTTGTCAATCTTCATTGCCGTTTGAACCTCCTTAATCTAGGTCGATCAATTACGAGATTTCGAGCTGAAAAAAAGGCCAACCGGAACTAACTACTAACACCCATACACAACCTCTTCTCACTATCCCGCCTTCCAACTAGCCTACTCTCCCTCCACACCCCTTCTACCTGGTACACAACTCCAATCGAACCAAGGACCGGCGCCTTGATAGCGTCCGCGTTACCCGCTCCCGTAAAGTCGTCCAGAAACGCCCCCGTACGACGCAGTAAAAACGGTGGGTTGGATGGCAAAAGCGCTCAATGTAACAGTGCGCATGTAGCACGAAGCGGGTGCCCAAGCAATACAGTGGCTTTCTTTCCCTGTTACAAGTGCGGTTTTATGTTTTTTTTTCGAGAGAAAGGATTCTGGTAGTAGGGAAGAAAGAGAGGTGGGAAACTCGGAAAATGTAGCCGAGAAGTGGAAGAAGGCACAGTTTTAATGGCTATCGCACATAATTAAAGACAGCGGATATCCCACTGGCAGTATTTTGAGTATGTAGCGGACCTACCTATCCGCTTCCAGTTATTTTTCTTTCCAAGAGAACTCATCAAGAAAAGATGGATAAATCATCAATGTTCCACCTCACAACCATCGTACACTTCCCACGCAAGATGTTTGCGCAGTCGTCATCTAGAGTATCCCCGTGCGCTGAGCAAGATACGTATGAGCTATGCAATATACACAGTACGAGCAGTCCGTATCCTGCGTCTGCGAGCTCGACTTGCTCGACGACATCAACATACGAGCGTCACGCGACGGAGACGGAGACGAATTCAATGATAGCGATGCGGCGAACGAAGTTGAGACAAGCTCAGTTGGAGACTTATCGGACGACTCCCCAGGAACGTGCGTATGATAAGATTTCGCCGTCGATCTTGTTTGTCGATTTACGCGGGTGTTCTTCGCATAAGATGTACTGTTGAAGTGATGAGATTGGAATGAGAGAGATTATGTAGTGTTTACGGTGGACTTCTCACAACGTCACCTGCAAAAATATGGCGGATGAAAAAAACTCCTTCGGAAAATGCTTTTAATACAGGGCGTAGCAACGTTAAGACTTGTGCGTTCTACACCACCGCGACTTCAACAGAACCAAGGCCGTGAATAATTGTCGTTTAATACAGAACCGTCCAACAATCCGACGTCATCGTCTTCATGTCAACTTTTCCAAGACTACCGATACCAAATCGGCACCACCAGAATCAAAAGTCCAAATCCAAACCAGCCCCAAAACCGAAAGAGAGAAGAGATATAATGGCAGAGAGAGAAAGGGGGAGAGACCGGTACGCCGTCGCTTGATATTCATACAAAACCATAAAATCGTTGTTTTCCACACAAAAGACCACTCCGTAAACCGTTCCCTTGTGATCTCAACGCAGTTATTCATCTGTCTCTGCTGCACGCGGCGCGGCCAATGGCTGCCCTGCCATGATCGCTTCCCGATCCCGTCGCATGCCCTCGAGTACGCCGACTAGGCCGCCTTCGCGCATGCGTTCGAGCACAACCTTCATGCCCTCGCGCGCGTTCGGCTGACTTCGTTGCGCACGCGAGAGCCCAATTTTTTCAATGTTTCGTTGTAGAGCTGCGGTGCCCCAGCTTCGCAAAAGGCCCATCTTCTGAGGCTGTTCCTCTTCCACAACACCTTCTCTAGCAGCCTCGCGCTTTTTCTTCCACGTCTCGCCAATGTGACTGTGCAGCGTCACTGAGCTTGTCACATCCGTTGTCTCGCCATTGTCTTCCACCTTGACGCCATTGCCCTTGTTGTTGAAGTTGATGAAGCCGTGGCGTAGAGCGGGGCTTTCCGAGCCCTGCCTAACTCTCGCGTGGTCAGACGTCAGCGAAGAAGGGCGAGTGAACTTCTGCCTTTCAATGACGGATAAAACTCCTGTCCATTCAAGATTGCGGGACTCAGTGTCCATCCATCCCTCCTTGATATCCACAACCGACTTCTCAAGAATGTAAGACTGCGATTCGCCGCCTGCCGATGCACCAAGCAGAGACCGAGGGACGAGCTTGAGTACAGCAGAGGGAAGTTTAGAGCGCTTAAGGTGTAGCCGTATGGTAGTTAGGCGCTGGGTCTCGGGGTCATAGTGGCGGGCGATGGTGTCGGTGGAGAGCACGTGAGTGGAGTAAGGGTTTGGATAGCGCAGGAAGTAGGCAAGGGAGACGGCCGAGAAAGGGTACGAGTAAGTTTCATTGGAAGAGTAGAATTTGACCATTTTGGCGTCTTATTGGTGCTTCTGGAGCTTCCTGTGCAGGTGTATGTGGAGAGGCAGATGGCGGGTGGAGTAATTGGTAGGTAGAAGGTTAGATGAACCTGTAGCGGACGGTGGTCTATCTCAGGTAACGAAGTCGCATGGTCAGCAGCATCCAATTGCAAATGGACAATTGGGAAGGCCGTTGCAGGGGAGAGATGTCGAGCGGGGTGGTGTGAAGATGGTGGTGTGACGACAAGCGGCAGGAGCATCTGGAGCTTTGCCTCTGATCAGTTTTGCCTCTCGGTCGCTCGGTCGTTCGTCGGCACTACGACTTGCCCACCTCCGATATTGTGGCTGGAGTGTGGCGCAGTGCGGGGCAGCTGAGGCGGTGCGGCAACACCAAATTGAAGCGGGGTGGTGCCATTTTAATTAATTGGCCATTGAGTCAACGCGTGATGAATCATCGCCGGCCCTCTTGATCTCGACGACTACAAACCTATATCCGCTGAAACTGCTTCTCGACACATACCCTGTCTCATCGCCATAATGACTGAACCTGAGCCGCCGGCGGTAGCCGCCCTCTCCATCTCCGACACGGCCACGCAACCTGTTTCCAAAGCCACCGAACAGGAAATCAATCCTTGGGATGTGCAAGCCGCGGTAGACGAGGACGGAAACGTCAAGGAATTTGACTATGTCAAGATCTCAGAACAGTGGGCAACAAAGCTCATTGACCAGCCGCTCCTTGAGCGATTCGAGCGCGTGACCGGCCACAAGCCACATCGCTGGCTACGGCGCGGTCTGTTCTTCTCTCACCGAGACCTGGACTTGATTCTTGATACCTATGAGCGTGGTGAAGACTTCCTCCTATACACTGGCCGTGGTCCTAGCAGCGATGCCATGCACATTGGCCACACCATCCCCTTCGAGTTCACCAAGTGGCTACAGGATGTCTTCGACGTACCATTGGTTATCATGCTGACCGACGACGAAAAGTTCCTTTTCAAGGAAAAACTGAAGCAGGAGGAGGTTTACGAGTTTGCCCGACAAAACGCAAAAGACATCATCTCCATTGGCTTTGACGTAAAGAAGACTTTCATGTATATCGACTCCGAGTTCTTCACATCGGGATACAACAGACATTTCAACCTGAACGCGACCGAGTTTGAAAAGCTCATCACCAACAACCAGGTCCGTGGCGCATTCGGCTTCCATGGCTCTACAAATATCGGCAGTAACGCATTCGCTGCCAAGCAATGCGTCGCTGCATTTGCTTCGTCGTACCCCTTCATCTGGGGTGAAGATTACAAGACCTACCGCCGATCGAAGAAGCTCGCTGCGACTCCCTGTCTCATTCCCTGCGCCATTGACCAAGACCCGTACTTCCGTCTCGTCCGCGAAAACTGCAATCGCATGGACAACCCTTCACCAAAGCCCGCGCTCATTCACTCTAAGTTTCTCACAGCACTACAAGGCGCCGGCGGTAAAATGAGCGCGTCCAATGCCAATTCAGCCATCTTCATGAGCGATACTGCGAAGCAAGTAAAGAATAAGATCAACACTAAGGCATTCTCGGGTGGCCAAGAAACACTCGAGCTTCATCGCGAGAAGGGAGGAAACCCTGACATTGACGTACCATACCAATACATCGCTTATTTTGAAGATGACGACGAGAAGCTCAAGAAGCTCGCCGAAGATTACCGCAAGGGCGAGCTGCTGACTGGCGAGATGAAGAAAGAATGCATTGAAACCATGACAGCATATACTAAGAGGTTCCAAGAAGCAAGGACAAAGGTCACAGATGAGATTCTAGACGAGTTTCTCCGCCCAAGGAAGTTGGAATGGAAGGGTAATCCGAATCCTACTAAGCCAAAGCTGGAGCAACCAAAGGAAGATACCGAAGGGGGTCCGATGCTAGATGCCGATGGCAAGCCAATGACCAAGAACGCTATGAAGAAAGCTGCCAAGATGGCCGAGGTCGAGCGAAAGAAGAAAGAGAAGGAAGCTGCTGCTGCAAAGCAGTAGCATCTCCACTAGATTCAACAAGCGTTAGAAGAATAGACATGTGATATGGGAACCATAAATCAGATCTGTACGTCGAAATGCGCCAAGTGAATCGCCTTACATCAATGCTTAGCGCACTCTTATACGGCTACTCCTCCTCAACCAATACTGCATTATGCATTAGTATGAAAGTGCTCTACTAAGATCTATGGGATGATGGCATTTTGACCTTTGTGTAAACTCTAACAGTCGTGACGTAAGGGACCGCGCACATGAACAGCAATTGCACTACTTAGCGGGCCGATCCGAGAATGTGGACCCGGATGATCCTAACGATAGTAACCCATAAGTAAGTTAACCCTTCTCTAAGTCGACCCACCAACGGTACTGCAGTCGGATACTGCAGCAACCATTTTAACTCGCTGCGGTTGGAGCTCGAGTTTCTTGAGTTGGTTCAGATACTCTATGCACCCCGAATCGTTCTCTGGGTCTATGCGGAGCTGCCACAAACTATCGAAACTGTGACGCCCTTCATTTTATTTGCTGTCTCCATAATCGATCAACGGCTGAGTCTACGATGTTCGCATGTATAAAGACCATCCATGTACCCCATACCCAGGCGTGTACTAGTTTCATGCGCCATCTAACGCAACCCGCACCCAACACTTTGTACCAGACCACTGTCCATGCCGGACACCATTGCCATTTTGTTTAAACTTTATATGATATTGTTTATGTTATTTGATGGCTGAACCTTTCTGCAGTCTATCTACGAAAACTGGACTCTTTATGTGCGGAGAGGCACCCAGGTCTGCCTCAATCCTCATCTTCTGACTGCACTCAGGTTACACACTTTCATCACACAAATTCAAGACCCTTTTTCAATCCCCTTTACACATCGATAACATCATGCCGTCTCATGATACGAAATCAGCACATGAGGCCACGTACGCTGACCAGCAGCCCGTGGGTCTACACATCAGGGACTCATCAAGCCTGGCCAGTACCGCAAACACTTCACCTTTTCCACCGACAGTCTCGATATCAGAGTCGTTGAATCCCTTTACAGACCGCTCTAACCGCGCAATGGAGGCGAGCAACAATGCTGAATGCTCAATGACACTCAGACAGGGTGTTAAGCTTTACCCAAAAGCCATCATATGGTCAGTGTTATTGTCGATGACGCTCATCATGGAAGGATATTCCACAATTCTAGTACCCAACCTGTTCGCCATGGGCCCTTTCAAGGAACGATTTGGCACCTTGCAACCCAACGGGGACTATGAGATCAGCGCTACTTGGCAAGGCGCATTCGTCAACGGAGGCCTCGCAGGCCAGATTTTAGGTCTCTTCGCTACAGGCACTCTAGCCGAGTGCATTGGATACCGACGCACTCTTATGGTTGGACTGGTCTCGATGACTGTCTTCATACTAATACCATTCTACGCTACAACCAAGGTGGTGTTGCTGGTTGGTCAGTGTCTGTTAGGGATGCCCTGGGGAATGTTCCAATGCATCTGTACAGTTTACGCAGCCGACGTTTGTCCCGTAGCTCTCCGGGCATATTTGACAACGTACGTATATGTGACATCTCCCACAGTTGTTGTCAAGTACCTGATCATGAAACAGATATGTCAATGCATGCTGGGTGCTCGGACAACTCATCGCTTCCATTGTTTTGCGCTGCATGATCGCTGACACCTCATCATGGGCATACCGCAAACCATTTGCACTCCAGTGGATTTTCCCTGTACCGATACTCGTCGCGGTTTACCTAGCCCCAGAGTCTCCATGGTGGCTCATCAGACAAAACAACTTCGCTGATGCAAAGAAATCCCTTCGCCGCCTACGAACCAAGCCCAAGTACGTCTCCGATGCCGAATTCGATGCTGGGATAAATGCCACATTGCACAACATGGTACAGACGAACGAAAAGGAACTGCAGATGCAGAGCGGGACAAGCTACAAAGACTGCTTCAAAGGGATCGATAGGCGCCGAACAGAGATTACGTGTATGGTTTGGTTGGTTCAGACACTATGCGGTGGCTCATTTATGGGCTTCTCAACATATTTTTGTAAGTTGAGCACACTCAAGCGCCATGTACTTGTTGACTGACATGTCATAGATGAACAAGCTGGTCTTGGGGCTTCATCTGCCTTCACTCTATCGCTAAGCCAGTTTGCGCTTGGCTTTCTCGGTGTCGGGGTATCCTGGGGTCTGATGGTTGCTTTCGGGCGTCGCAGCCTCTACATTTCCGGCCAAATACTGACGTTCATCTTTGTCTCGTTTATCGGCATCTTCGCCTGTATACCTGGGCGCCGTACTGTCGCTGTTGACAGCTCCACTACCGACCCCTCATCTCAAGTCGCGGATCTACCGCCTGACGAACTCAACTGGGCCATCGCTGGGCTGTTGTTAGCTTTCACTCTCACATACGATGCAACGATCGGGCCTATATGCTACGCTCTTGTATCGGAGATCCCCTCTACGCGATTACGTAGCAAGACTATTGTTCTCGCGCGCAATTGCTACAACATCTCCGGCATCGTCGCCAACATCATTACACCGCGCATGCTCAACCCCACAGCGTGGGGCTGGGGTGCGCGAACCGGCTTCTTTTGGGCTGGCACAGGCATCATGGGTATCTTGTGGACCTGGTTCCGGCTCCCAGAACCGAAGGGTAGAACATTCGCGGAACTTGACGAGCTCTTCGAAACGAAAGTGGCTGCAAGGAAGTTCAGTAAGACGAATCTAAGACCCCCTGAGCGCGCGGTGAATACTGTCACAGTGACAGTTGGGAAGCGTACGGGATAATTCTTATTATTCTCGGGCGCAACGTGCCTGCGGTGGAAATGGTGACATCGGGAATACGTGACAGACTAGGAACGGATGGGAGATCAATCGATTCCCATAACGAAAGGATTCTGTAAATCCCTTGGATTTTTCTATTTAAGTTTGGCGGAGTGTTTAGAAACAGTGGCCTTGGCCTACTTAGCAAATGAGTGTCAATGTAACAGAATTTTGAGGATTGATTCAATTTGGTTTACATGATTCGAAAAAAAAACAGCAAAGACTAGTAAAAGCGATAGGAAAAAGTCAGCTGCATCGACATTTAGTCATTTGTCGTGTCTCTACAGCAAAGCGGAATCTGCTGAACCCATTCAGACGATCGAACTTGGTGGGCTGTCAAACGGCGTATGGGACTAGGCTCGAGGATAGAGTAAACGACATTTCGGCATTGGCGCTAAATTCAAGTCAGCGAGCAATATGTTGAAACTTCTCGGTAACTTACACGTCTCAGACATTCAATCGGCTCGTAGCCAGCTTCTGTCTTGCGCTTTGTGACGTATTGCTGATATTTTGCATCTTCTTCCGGCTTTGCAGCGCGCCACGGATTCTCCCCGGTTCGCATGGCCATGTAGATCATACCGCAAGCCCACACGTCTAGCGGGCGGGGGTCAAATTCCTCGAGTGTAAACTCCTCTGGAGCGATATAAGGCAAAGAGCCGCAGACTCCAGAACTCATGCGTGCTTCTGTCTCCCAGGCTGCACGGAAACATTCTGCATTCCCAAAGTCGATGATCTTGACTAACCCACTCGTAGTTAGGAGGACGTTCTCGGGCTTGAGGTCGCGATGTGCCACGCCCATCTCATGCATATATACTAGTCCTTGTATCAACTGTTTGAAGAAGCAATCAGCTTCTGTCTCTTCAAGTTCACCAGCATGCAGGATAACTGAGTGCAATTCCTCCCCAGGAAAGTACTCCATAATCTGGCATTCCACGCCCTTGTCGTCCTGCAGAAGATCCAAAGTAGCAAGAATATTTTGGTGATGTAGCGATGATGAGATGCGGAATTCTGAAACTACGCGCCTATGGTACTTTTCCTGTGGTTCTCCTTCGAGCTGTTTGTGCTCTTTTATTGCAAAGACTTGCTTGCTACTCGGATTCTTCTCGTCGATCTTGTAGGAAGCACGGATAGTACCAAAAGCACCCCATCCAAGCACATCACCGCATTTACCATATTTATGGGCGAGGACTTGAGCGGGATCAGACATGTTTTGCACAACAGCAGGATCTGCCGTCTCCTTTCGCAGCCTTTTGAACCAGTTTGATGCCACCTGCCGTATCTGCTGCTCTTTGAGATGGCGGATCATTTTGAAAGACTTTTCACGGTTCCGGTGACTATGAATGGTATGTTCATGATCGCCATATACATCTTCCCGAAATCTTGCACGCACATCGGCTGCCTTGATAGTTGACATTTGCCTTGGCAGTGGACGACGACTCGACTTGGCATTATTAACCGGTTGGGCGCCAATGCTATTCTTTCTGGTTGCTTCAGAGGAAGGATTCGTTGCCGATGGTGGATCGCTTGAGGCAGTATTAGCAGTTGGCCCTGGTTCAGTATCCATAGCGGGGTGATGCTGCTGCGAAAAGGTGGCACCAAAGTAAACAGTTTGAGTCAACTAGAGAATCCAACTATGCAAATCAATAGTATAGAGTCGCAAAACTTGTGCTATGTAGCCTGCAAAGATTAATCAGCGAAAATCACTATGCATTCACGCAAAGATGGCGTACTATTATTCGCGTCTACGAGCTTTTGTCCCACAGTCTATACCGTGGACAAATTTGAGATAGTGGTAAAGCGTGGAATACATGGAGTTCAGTAGTGGGTGGTGGAACTGGCTTCTCCTCCCAGTTCGGCCGCAATTGGCAGTAGAATTGATCTGGCGGGATTGGTGATGCAGAAGGTGCGGTGACGTTGGAAGCTCGACGTTGCGTCGAAAGAGAGCAATATGGGTGTACAAAGGTGTTGATAATGAGTGTAAAATTTAGTTTGAGTGTGGTCCTGGTATGGGAAGAAGTTATGCTTAAAAATAAGGCAATAGTAGTGGGGCAAACATCTTCCACTTCACGTGCCTTTCGGGTAGAGACCAGCGTGACCGGGTAAAGCGGAGCCGTGCTGTCTTGGCTGCATCGCGAAACGAAGACGTCGTCCTTGGCGTTATCCTTGACAATGGACGTGGTGATAAAGCAATGCCCAGTGTGCAAGAGGCGATGCCAGCCTGTGATTGAGAACGAAATGTGAAGTATTCGGTCCGGTTGGACAAATGTTATCAGTCACTATACTATTATTACAGAACAAAGATGCATATGCTGTATAGAGACTAGCAGCCCAACAATGCTTCTTGAAGCCTACTTCTTTCTCTCTTGCCTGGCGCTTCGCTAACTTTCTTCTGCTTTGAAAGTGAGGAATAAAGCTCGGCGACAGTCATACGTTCTTGACAAAACCAACCTCGATGATGCGGTCGCGGTCAACGTCCAAGGAAGCAATCTTGTTTCGAGTGTTTTCCCGAACAAACAGGAAGATGTACAACAAAACCTTGCGGATGAAGTTGGTATTGCTCTTAACCTTCATCTGTTCCTTGCCAATAATGTACAAGATTTCATGGTTGAAAGCGCGCTCGAGGGCCGTAAGTCTAGCTGTAGTGCTTGATGCATTCAAAGTCGACATAGGCGCCTGCCTCGCGCTTGGGCGGGATGAAGTCGTAGCCGATCCATTTGTTTCATTGACTGAAACTTTGAGATTAAGTGTATTCGGATCGTTCCCATTGCCAAGGTCGTTACCCGTGGTTTTTGGTGCACCTTTCTCCTCGCCTTCACGGTCCAAGGCGTGGGACAATATATAGTCATGGACTTTGTCATAGACCAGCGAGCCAAGGTCTGGAGTAATAACTTCATCCATGTAACCGTGGCGGACAACGAGACGATAACAATTGGGGATGGCGAGGCGGGAGACATGATAGCGATCCTCGTAGGCCACAGAAGGTACTTCGAGGGGACGGAGGTGAAAAAAGACGATGACTTCTGGCATCGTAACTAGTTTGCGAACAAATTGACTAAAGACAATTGGTGTAGTCTCGCCAGCCTTGTCGAAAAAGATGGCGAATCCTTCGATAGAGCTGATCGTCTTACCACCAAATCTCTCAGTAAGCTGAATACGTCCGTCTTCGCATGTCTTGACGAAATGGGTGGTGGGATAGCGATCTTCCGCCTCAGCGAACCATTGTTGCTCCTTCCCGAATCTCCAGAGAATAAACATACAGGCAAGCAGTGTAGCGAGTAAGAGGGTGAACCAAGCACCATCCGGGACTTTGATGAGCGCTGATGAAAGAAAAGCGCCATCCATACATGCCACTGTTAGCCATGGGATGAGGACGAAATATGGTTTGATACGCCATATAAGGATTGCGACGAGCGTTACCATGCAGGTGTCGAAGAATGTGACGAACATGACGCAAACGCCATAGGCATTACCAAGGGAAGTCGTGTTATTGTAAACGGCGGCGATTATGACAGTGCCAATCATGAGGAGCCAATTAGCCGCTGGCACATACAGTTGACCGTGGTACGTAGGCGAGGTATGAATTACACGGATCTGTGGGAAGTATGAGAGCTTCATGATTTGTGTGAGGAGCTGATACATGTTAGAACCTAATGTGAAAACATCGAATGCGTACAAACCTGAAAGGTCGCGGTAATCATTGCCTGCGATGCAACAATTGCTGCTGCAATTGCGATGACTAGAGAGGGAATCAACCAGCCTTTTGGTGCGCAATTGTAAAACGGATTGGAATAGGCTTCTGGATGAACGCTGATATAGGCTGCTTGGCCCGTATAGGCAAGGAGGAGGCAAGGGTAGGCATATCCAAGCCAGCTGATTTGCACTGACTGCCGACTAAAGGCACCAATATCCGCGAAGAGTGCCTCGACACCTGTAAATGCAAGAAGGATACCACCAAGACTGTGCCATCCGTTGTATTTGTTGCGTATCAGATAGTCGAACGCATAGTACGGATTGAACGCCTTTAGAACAGCATGATCGTACCTACAAAGTCAACAGGCCGTTAAAAAAAATTCGTTAATGTGCCTAGACTTACCGGGCCAAGTTGTAGATTCCGAACCCAGCATTTAAAGCAAGCCATATTACAACTATGGGAGAGAAGACAACAGTAATCTTTGAAATGCCTAGTGGCTGCAGTAAGAAAAGTAAAACCAGAATGGCACAGGTTACGCCAACAACAGTGGACTTGGAAATGTCAGGCTTGACAACATTGAGACCTTGTACAGCGCCTAGTACGGACTGGGCAGGGGTCAGGACACCATCTGCCATGACCATAGAAACGCTTAGTACACCGATCGTCTTCAGCAGACCTCGGAAGAACTTTGTCTTCTCAATGGTTGAGCGAATAGTCTTGGTGGACCGATTCAGATCCTGCGTCAGATATCGTTCCATTCCTACAGCCTTATTAGCTAGAGAAGACTCACAGCAACAGAAACTTACGAATCATTGTAGCTTCGCGTGGGTCACGATTCGCTATATGCGCCTGCACTGATTAAGATTTTTATCGCAAAATATTGATATGATAACTTACATATCGAGAGAGTAAAGAATAGGTACTGAATGTACCGCCTTCGCCGTCATTGTCGGCGCGCAAAATAACCAACACATACTTCACTGTCACCATCAAGGTGATCGCCCAGATAATTAGCGATAACGCCCCAAGTAGATCCGGGCGATCTGGAGGCGCAGTAAATGTCGACGAATACACATAAAGCGGAGAGGTACCAATGTCACCATAGATTGTTCCGATAGACTGGTAGGCCAGCATGAACACCTGCGCGAGGCTAAAGTTCTGTAGATCATTAGCTCAAAGTACTTACTATAGGAAACAGAAGTAGCCCAACCTGCTTTTGCTTAAAATCATTATGGTTCCTCAGTCCCGCATCTTCGTCTTTTGCGTCCTCAATTTCCCCAAGCTTGCCGAGGTCGAAGGAGCCTTTTCGTTCCCGGGACTTTGATCTCGAACGAAGCGACACTACACCACCGAAACCCATGTTCTCTTTGGGGTTCGTAGATTGCGGGGCACCAGCAGCCTGCATCGCTGACGCCATGTTCTACGAAGTTGATATGGGTGGGAACGTAGAAGAAATTCGATCTTTGCTCGAGAATTGAATTTATACTACATAGTTGTAACTCTATCTGCCAGATTTCATTCGGGCTGTTATCTCTCAATTCATGTTACCTTTCAAACCATGTCATCTCGCAACAAACGTTATCTCTCAAACCATTGCTTTAGCTGACATTTTTCTCCCACGTGCGCCTGGTTTCGGATGAGCGATTTTACGACGTTGCTATAAGCCGGGGGGAACGACGGCGGGCTGCATCAGGACTAGTGGCTCGCCACGTTTTCTTTGGATGTCCAAATGCCAGTCGCAGCCGTGTCAAATTTCCTGGTGCTAGGCACGGAAAGAAAAGTACGGGAAACAAGCGGAAAACGAGCAAAATCGTCGGTGACCTTCCTAAAATGTGTTAAGTAAAAGAACCCCTTTCTGCTAAGCATTGACAAGGCGTTTAGCGAAAATTTGCTAGATCGCGGGTATACTACGGTATAATTCGTTAAGTATGCAGATCTGCAGGGACGGCTGAGTTAGTGCACACGGCAAGTATCGCACCATCTGAGAAGAAGGGAAAGGTGAGATATTGTGACATCTCACAGGTATTGGAATAGACCTTTGGCCTGGGCCAGAAAGAGCCATACACAGTAGCTGCTATAAAAAAGAGTGATTCACAAGTACTGAGGGCTTAGAAGATTTGGCACGCTATCATATGTGATGTCGCTGATTTCTGTAACAGTCTGGGGCTGGAGATGACTAGAGAAGCCGAGCTCTATTTAGGTCTAACACAAACTAGTTAGTACTGGCGATGCTTGCGAGTGTCTCTAATGCTGTTAGAGCCTATACATACTGGATGTAAAACTAACTATTTAGACTGGCCCGGAAATGAAACTCCATATCTCATGCCGATGCGGACAGTGGGGCCCACGGTTCATCGACGCTGCTTTGTATTTACCTCCTGGTACCCTACCCTGCAGTGCTTCGTGTAAGCCCGCCGTCGTAGCGTGCTCCATCAGTAAGCTGCGCACCCCACCAAACTTTCTACTATGATTTCGCCGTTACATATACTATCATTTTAGCCATTGTGGCGGGGGCATGCCCTCCACTTTCCAAGGTAGGATCGTAAGAAGTAGATAGTGTTGTAGCAGCTAAATTGCTGCACCCACTGCCTATATCGAGAGATCCTTATTGCTTAGTTTGGCGAATGTTGATTTTTTTCTCATTTTCTCTTCTACCTCTCTCTTTATCCTAGTATTCCTTCTTTAAGCTACTCCAACTGCTCAGCATACACACTACATACCTTCCCCTCACGCCAGACACCACGAATATTCAACGTCGCATCGATATCCTCAAGCGGATTTCCCTCAACAAGCAACATATCGGCATTCAATCCCTCCGCCAACCTCCCCCGGTCTTCAAATTTGAACCGCTTCGCAACCAAGCTCGTAGCCGACCGCAATGCCTCCATGGGCATCATACCTACCTTATGCACGAATAAATGAAGCTCATGATGCATAGTCAGACCGAACGCCGTACCGACTGCAGGACCAGCGGCATCGCTTCCGCTATTCACTGTTAGCTATATCCTCGAGCATAGTACACCTTTTTTCGAGAAGAAAGTCCACACTCACCATAGAATATCAATCCCCGCATCCTTCAACGCCTTAACCCCCTGATACGCAAACTCCACCTTGCCCTTATCCGCAAACCCCATACACCGGCACATGTTCCCGACGCGATCCTCTCCAATCAACCCTTTAACCCGCGGATCATGCGCGAATTTGTGCTGTAAGTCTACGCCTTCGGCTGTCAAGCTGCCCATTGTTGCTAGTGTTGGGTTAACCCACGCGTTGTTCTTTTTGTACGCATCGATGAGTTCCTGAGTGGGCGGTTGGTCGCAGAAGGTGTGGGTCAGCCCGTTTACGCCCGCGGTGAGGACATCCAGGGTGTCTTGCAGACAGGTTGCGTGGGCGACGGTGAGGTAGCCGCGGTTGTGGGCTTCGGTGATGATAGTGCGTTGGAGGGAGAGGGAGGGATAGGCGAAGGTTTGGCTCATGATTGTGCCGCTTTCGTGCATCAGCTTAATGTAATCTGGTTGCATTTCCTTGGTGGTCCAGTCGAGGTAGTTGATTACGCTGGTGTGGTCGGTGAGTTTTGGCCAGCGCGCGATTGCGGCGGCGGTTTCTTCGCTTTTGTCGTGCGCGGTGATGACAGGGATGGGCCAGCCGTTTTCGATTGTTGCGGCTTGACCCGCGGTTTTGTAGGATGCCGTGTCGGGCTCGAGGGTTTGCTTGCGGAGTTTCAGGACGTTTTCGAGTTCGTTATGCATCTCGCACACGGTGGTCACTCCGAACCGTAGGGATTGTGGTAGAGCTACGGGGTCGGCTCTGTCAGCATGAATATGGCAGTCTATCAGGCCGGGAAGAAGAGTGTGTCCTGGTTTTGAATATGTCTTTATTGATTCTTGTGGGATGCTGCTTGTTGGTCCCACTGATTTGATCTTGCCATCCTGAATGTGTGCGTATCCTTCTTCGATCACCTCTTCACCAGTAAACATACGGACATCTCGAATGATGAAATTAGCCATTATCTTGGCTGATGCTATATGGACTACTGTTAAGCTTGAGGTTTCTCTCAAGGATGCTGAAATGAGATCAATGTGGGAAGAATAAGGATATGTATAGTTGCGACAAGGGCCACTAGATATGAAAAAACATCAGCTGAGTCGGAACTCGGGCTCTTTTTAGACATTAATCCTCGTCCCCTGCACTCGATGCCAGATGTGTATACGATTGCCGCTGAAGCCGTACTTGACGAGCATGTAAAAACCAGGATTACAGTACTAGCGTCCGGGGGCGTTCGCACACTGGACGTATAGAAGTCGGACAAAAGAGGGGACCATATAGCAAAACAACCCAAGTGGTTCCATATGGTCAACATGTGGGGAATGAGGCTCGGATCTGGGCCTGCTTGTTCAACATGTGGTTCCGCGGTTATCAGTGGCTGCTGCAAGCCCCTCATCGGCCCGCGTCGCGGAGAGCCGAACATGGCTAAAATCTGAACACTCAAGGGATGCGAAAAGTGCAGATTTCCCTAGACCAGAAAAAGGTGTGGTACATTTCCTATTGTCAGCTTACAGCCACATACCAGTTGATTGTGGTGTGGGTGATATGCAGGTGTATCCTATACCGGCTGGATAGATGTACAATTAGGTGCCGACCCACTAGCAAGTCCAAACTAAGTCGCAGGCTTTTTGGGCACAAATCCCCACAAAATTGAGACAAACTTACCTACAGGAAATATTGCCGTTTAAATTCACATGTCAAGATTCTGGTCATAACCATGACGACGAAAGGCCCGTGGGTGTATCGCTTTGCTTAGATTTCCTAGGTGGTTCAGCTTCTAGCTCCATGCCTGCTAATAGGCTTAGTATCTCTCGAGTAGAGATGTTCATTATCTTCAAGAACGAACCAAGATATCGATTATTATATACGAAGTAGAATGCGTCGTTTGCAAGGGTGATATGCATGTGGATGTTCATGTGGCTTGTACCCATATCACATGCGCATAGTAGTAAGAATTTAGACTCCTCTTTTCAGAAGCCTTGGTACCGATATATTGTCTAGCGAAGGAGGCGCTGGCAACCAAGAACCAACCTACTATTTGGCCTTGTCATTGTCTATGCTTAGCTGCAGTCAATCTGACGTGAGAAGGACTTGCCGGTATCTTGGACCAGAATCTACACATTCTCATATGTTACTCCGTCAGGCAGGTCTGTTCTGTGTTCTTGTGATAGTATTCCGAGTGCTTTGAAAGCTTGATCCACGTGACCAGGAGTCAGGGAGACGCGTAAAGGAGATGACGGAAGGAAGCCGGAGATGCCAAGCGCCCCACTAACACGGTCAAGCGTGCCATCACGTCGTCACGAGAGCGACATCGCTCTCTCGTCGACGAAACTCCATTTTTACATTTTCTAGCCTTGCGTGATTTGGATGCTGCGCACTGTCTTTTTAACCGCCAACGATGGTTGTCCTAGTTGATTTGGAAGACGATGAAGCGCCCTCATTACAGTCCCCTCACGCGTCTGGCTTGATGAACGTCAAACCATTGCACCATTCTCTGCAGGATTCGGCAACAGAGAGTGAGCAGCGAGTGAGCGTGGCAGACGAGAGGCCGAACCCAAACAAGAATGGATTCAGCGCTGCCCTGAGCTGCTATCCGTGAGCCTTAGCCATAGCATGGACTCGACTCCACGCCATGATGCATGCTAACCATGTTAACCACACAGAATAGTAAGCCAGCTCGCCGCCCAGCTCGACCTCAACACGCTCCATGATCTGTCGCGCACTTGTAGGCAGTTTCGTGCAAATCTGCTTGAATACCGTAGCCAACTTGTCAAGCATACGCTGCATTGCGTCAACGAGGATGTCGAGCCCGGCGAAACCCCAGGGTCGTCACTCCACGGAGGGAGGTATGGTACGGCAATGGAATCAAGGCTGACTACCGGTCGTGTCGGGATATGTGCTCGTGATATGGTAGGCGAGTGCCAGCGCTGTGGGACGATTGTTTGCCGGGTATGACGTCTGAATGTGTAAAAGACCAAATTGGGACTGATGATTGTCTCAGAATTGCACAATGAAGCCACCACCCACACCTGCACTTCGGGCTCGACATCGTCGGCTCTGCCGTACGTGCACCAAGGCACCGTTGCCCATGCTCATGACTGCCCAGAAAAGACGCTCGTCATCCGACTCCTCACCACCAGGGTCGCCCGACCAGCGCCCTGTGATGTTTGAAAGTAGTCAGCCGCGGGCATTCACCGCACCAGCATTTGAGCGCACCCCTTGCAATTGCGATGATGTGGTGTGGTTTTGCGCACCGTGTGGCAAGGACCTACGAAACGCAGATACCATGTACGTTCGTGGATGGAGCTGGCGCACGCGATATAGCCACTACCTGGGTGGAGTCGGAACGGGAGCTGGCGAGGGTAATGAAGGTGTTGAATGTGGGCGAGGTTGCGCTTGTCTAGGCGCACGAGTCGTTGAACACGAGACCTGTGAGCAAGACCTCTTGGACACTATTGAGAGGTCGCACACCCCTTCCCCAGAGTCACCTGACCGCTGGCGGGGAACGTCTTACCTCACTCAAGAGATTGAAGGAATTGGCGGGGTGCTGAAAATGAAGCATAAAAAGCAGGTCCGTGTTGGGGAGTGCGTAAAGCTCTATGAAGATGAAAAGGAAAAGTCGATACAGTACCTCGAGCGCGAAGTCAAAGGAGAGCTCAGAAGCTGGTGCTCATGGTGTGAACGTGTCGTTCTTGGGAAGAAGGATAAGGCTGAAATCAATGGGGTCCGACCGCCTTCCAGTGGTTCAAGTTCAACGTCTTCTACGAGCTCGAAGCCGTCGTACAGATATTAATGACGCATTCCTCGTGTGTTGACATGTTTGTTGTATGCTTGTACATAGTTTGAAGTTTTTCTCGTCGCTGGTTTCTCCATGATGTGGCATGCAACTATTTTGGTTGACAGTCTTGAACTCACTGGGTTCTCCCGCATCCTATTCAACCTTCTCCAGCACACACAATCTTCATGCTAGATGTCAAAATGGTCATCATTATAGTCATCGTCGTCGTTATCGTCCCAGCACGATGGTTCTTCGGATATCTCAGCCTTCCTCAGTTTCTCTTGTTCCGTGATGACTTTATCAACCCAGCCGTCTAGGTTTTCAGCCGTCTTTCCCATCTCACCCACTTCTGATTGCGATTTATCCCCCTTATTCCACAAACCAGCTGGACTGCCTGCATCTTCATCCCTTGCCTTAACCAACATCTCAATCTGCCACCGAAGATTCTCATTTTCTTCCTGAAGTCTCTCAATCTTCGCATGCTGCGCTCGCGCCTCCCGATCTCCTTGAGATTGCGCTTGCAGAACTATGTTGAGAGTTTCCTGCGTTTCCGAGTACCGCCGCAGTAAGTCGCAGTTGATATTCCGGTTTGTCAGGTTTGCCCTCTCAAGTTGTCGTTTCTGAGCGCGTAGCTGCTCTTTTTCGTTCTCTAGCCGTAGGCGCGCATTTTGCAGGTTGTGGATGGTGCGTTCGCGCTCAAAGGGGTGAGCAGCGATGGCGCCATCGACGAGAGTGCGAAGGGCGAGGTATTCGGCACGGAGACCGATGTACCTTGCGGCGAGTTGGATGTAGGTCCAATCATTGGTGTATTCTTCAGGCGTGAAGGAGGTGAGATTTGGTAGTGATTCTGACATTTTGATTATTTAGAGAAATTTCGGTAAGGGTGAGGAGAAGGCTACATGGATAACATGAGACTATTTATGAGGAGTATGTTTGCTGTCACAATTCACTGCTCACGGTTGATGGGCTAGACTTTCTACCCTTTCACCGTGATCTGGACATGCAGAAACTCACTAAAAACTAGGCATCACCCACATACTGCTGTGCTCAACGGCACTTCACTAAGTTGAAGTATCGTAGAGAATTTTCTTTCCCCGGCTGATCAAAGTCACTCATCTCGTACTCAGAAGAGGTTTGACACCTGTGACTGGCTTGGCGTTGTCGTGCCTTCCTCTTTCCCCAGCGAGCTGCACGTGCGTGCTGAAAACAAACAAGCCACTCGCCTCACATATCATCGGTTTCCCCTCGTCATTCTTCCACGACCTTGTCAACCCTTTCAATCTTTACTACTGATTTATATTTCACGCACCTGCGAATCACAATGGACGAAGAGGGCCCCAAATGGCGCCTAGGTATGTGAAGGCTCGTTTGTCGATTGTTTTATTTCTTGCTAATGCCATATAGACCATGCAGATAATGGCTCAGCAATCTGTCAGCAAGCAGCCTGTAAGCGGAACGAATCAAAAATCGTCAAAGGTGAACTGCGCATCGGTACACTTACACTGTTTGATAATGGCATGCAACGCCGATGGTACATGGCCTGGCGTCATTGGTGAGTCAACTTTCTCCTGCATCCCCACACAGAAATAAATACTAATACAGATCTAGGGGATGTGCGACAAAGCATCAGATCGCTGGTTTGAAAGAGACCACCGAGAACGATCCAACTAAAGCACCCGGCTATGACCGACTCAGCCCTGAAAGCCAAGAGCAGGTGAGACTCGCATTTGAAGAGGGTATGCCCGTCGATAAGGGGTTCAAGGATATTCGTGAGGACCTGGCGAAAACTTCACGCAAGTACGCGAAAGAGTATAGGGACGCAGAGGGCTACAAGGCCGATGTCGCTACTCGTGCCGCTGCTTGCCGTGGAGGCGACTGCGTATCGGACAACACCAAGATCACGAAGGGCCATCTGAGACTTGGCATCTTAGTCAACTTTGACAGTGACCATACTTCGACATATTACAAACACTGGGTAAGTTGTTTCCTCCTTTCTGGATAGAACATTGTGCTAAACATTCCACAGAAGTGCATGTCTGAATATGACTTGGCATGTGCACAGATGTGCTACGAAAAAGGGGAGTTTTATGGAATCGATCAAATCCCAGAAGAGCTCAAGGAAGTGGTGCTTAAGACATTCGAGACAGGAGAGGTCGTAGAGCCGCCAGAGCCTAGAATTGCGCCACTGAAGTCGAAGACGTCTCGTAGCAAGAAGACCAAAGTCAAGCGAGAACCTAGTGTCAGTTCGGAAGAGTCAGAAGGCCCGTTCAAGGATCCGAGTGATGAGTTGCAAGAGACAATCTCACCATCATCCGTGACGAAACCGAAAGCAAAGAAACCGAAAGCAAAGAGACGTCTCGCCAAAGAGATTGACAGCGGTAGCGAAGCCGAACCAGAGTATATTCCAAGGAAATCAAGGAGTAGATCTAGTCCATTCAAAGACGCCAACGTTCCAGTCGAGGCTGCTACGTCAGCTGCTGAAGATCTTATAGATGATTGAACATGCTGCAAAGGAAGGTTGTTCAAAAGGTGGAGCAATGACTGCGATGGCCATACGATACATATATAGATATATTTGGGGAAGCGAGACGTAAGTGTAATAGTCGGGTAGTCAATAATCACTTGTATCGCCCGTGGAGACGATTCCATAGGCTATCATGACTGCATATGGCTAGAGAGTGAGTTTCGGGAGTAAGCAGAAGATTGCGGGATCTCAGTCATATAATCATACCAATTGTAAATCTCTTTTAGAACTATATCTCTAACTGCGGAAAGTATTTCAATTGTAACGTTTCGGCCTGACAATTGAATGCAGAAGTGCGTAAAGCGGGGCAAGGAACTTACGTTTGTGATCAATGCACGACCCACCCAAGCTCCCGGTGGCGCATCCCAGTCGCAAGCTGTCCTCCCCGCAAATCATATCCACTCCACCATCCATCAACTGAACCAACCTAGTACGACCTAAACGCTTCTCTATACCTTGTCAAAACACCAGAGATCTACGCGACGACAGTCATCATGCCGGGCAAAATCATCGCCGTCACGTCGGCTTCGCACTTCTCCCAGCTTCTCTCGCAATCTACATACACCATCGTAGACTTCTACGCCGACTGGTGCGGGCCATGTAAAGCCATTGCGCCCGTCTTCCAGAATCTGGCAGAGAAGGAGACGAAGCCAGGAAGGATGCAGTTTGTCAAGGTGGATGTTGATAGCCAGCAGGAGGTTGCAAGAAAATATGGCGTCAGCGCGTACGTATATTCCAATTGATAGGACTCCAAACCGCAATCGACAACCTCGATCAAGATATGGAATGCTAACATGCGTTATCTGCAGCATGCCAACTTTCTTGGTAATCAAGTCCAACTCGGTTGTCGAGACCATCCGCGGCGCAAACCCCTCTGCCCTCACTGCCGCCGTGCGCAAAGCTGCCAGCGACACATCTGGTCCGGGCGCCGCATCCACTGCCTTCCAGTCCAAAGGGCGCACGCTTGGGTCAGCCGAGGAACCCAGTCGCCCGGTCGGGGACAGTCCATTCGCAGGTTTACAACGCATGTTGATGGGCAACGGCGGCCTGACGGATTTGGTGATCAGATTTGCAGCCTTGTACTTTATCAGTCTATTCGCGTTTGACGCGTTCAAGGCTGCGGAAGAGAGCCCATTCAATGTGAAGGCGAAGCGGTGAATGCGCAGTCGGAATGTTGGAGTTTGCGCATCACTGCTTGGCCAAGTTAGGATGAAAGGGCTGTTTGGCGTTGGGACAAGAACAAGGCGTTTGGGAGGGATACCACTTCAGATCAGATCGTCACGCATACCGGCATTACTCTTTGTAGTCCATGCGGTAAGCTGTGGAGAAAGGTTAGCGCAATACATTGATACATACAATGCTTTCAAAACTCTCGCTTCCTCTATACCCAGTTCCGCAGTCTACTCCAATGGTTAGTTTCTTTCCTAACTTGATACGCTGAAAGCCGGCCCGCCACAAGTCCTCACAAATCAGGCGTACTTACGGCGCACCAAAGAGGCTACAAGGGCGGCCTTACGCTTGTTGGGTATGCCTCCCAACCCCGCAAAGTCAGCCTTACTTGCGATACCCTTGTAATGCATCTTGTCGTGGATCGGACAGACTGTGGTTACTGTTGGTACGGATTCCTAGGACTAATCGGCTAAAGCGACCCTACACAACGCAACTCATAGAACCTTCATTTTGAAGATTCTTCACAAAGCAGGCTTGCCGCAGATACGATAGGTCAACTTGAGCAGCGTACAAAGAACTTGATCATGCGCAGGTTTCACGACCTACTGCAGTCATCAGCAGCCTCGTCGTCATTAGACGAGGAAGGTAGGGCCAGACACTATAAGACACTGGCTCATTCCAACTATTGGGATACTCATGTCTGGAAACAGCCTTGATTTACCCATCACCTCTACGATCGGCTAGGTTCGCATCACTGGCACAATGGTTTACATGCGATCTTGGGCAACTCTATCCATACTATCATTCACCACCGCTTCTCCAAAGACCCAAAGTGCACTACCGCATCAAGCAATCGAAGTACAGAGTTTCAGTCAAGTGAGTAAAGTAAGTCAAGCTCATATTCTCGACTTATGCTGGAAGTCTAGATTACTCCATCGTCTGATCTCCAATGGATACCGTGCTACAATGGCTTTGACTGCGCCAATCTGATAGTACCGCTCGATTACGAAGATAGTAGTGTTGGCACCACGACCGTCGCATTCATTCGCAAGCTTGCCCCGGGGAACGTTACTCAGGATCTTCTCTTCAACCCTGGTGGACCCGGTGGCTCAGGCGTAGGCAGTTTGCTTTCCGGAATCGGCGACCTCATCTTGAATCTGAGTGGCGAACAATACAACATCATCAGCTTCGACCCAAGGGGCGTAAACAACAGCGGCATCGAACTGACATGCTTCCCCGGCCAACCAAACATCCGAGATACCTATTGGAGTACTTTCGAAGAGCTATCCCAAGCCTCCAATCTCGACGAAACGTACGCTCGCGGCCTCGCAATAGGCCAATGGTGCACAAAGGCCAACGGAAACACAACCGCAAAATACGCCGGTACCCTCGCCGCAGTACAAGACATGCTCCACTTCACCACCCACCAATCCCGCCTCCGCAATCTCGAGAACCCAGATGAATCCCCTGTCAATTTCTACGGCCTCAGCTACGGCACCATCATCGGACAAGCCCTCGCATCCAAGTATCCCACCCGCGTCGGCCGCATGGTGCTAGACGGCACCGTCAACGCCGAAGACCACCTCAACGGCGCTAAGCTAACAGCCGTACAAGACGTCGATGCAGCGTATAGCCTGTTCTTTTCCCTCTGCCACGCCGCCGGTCCTGGAACTTGCGCTTTTTACGCAGAGGACGTGAAAAACCGCTTCGATACCTTCTTATCCAACCTCGAGCGTGAACCAGTCATCCAATTGACCTCGACTCCAGTGCCCAAAGTCATAACCAAAGACGCCGTCCTCGCCGCAGCGTTTCACACCCTATACGCCGGCGCAATTGGCTTCCCGTTCCTCGCGCGCGGTCTTGCTGCGTTGGAACGGGGGGATGCAGCAGTTTGGCTGGAGGAAATCGCGCGGTTCCAACGGCCTAGTGGTGCGGCGCAGGAGGTTTATATGTTGGTTACTGGTGCTGATTATGCGGGGCGGAGTCAGATACCGAACCGTAGTGTTTTCCGGGAGAGATACGAGGAAGTGGCGAGAACGAGTGTGTATGCGGGACGTGTGTATGCGCTTGAGAATTTGGTGTTGGGGGTTGGGGTTGGGATTGTGCCGCCCGAGAGTCAGGTAATTGAAGGTAAGTACATTCCTTGTCTATGTTTCTTGTTTTATTTTCTCTTTGTGTTTGAATGGGGTGGGATTGATTGGTGTACAGGGTTCAAGTATACGGAAACTAAGACGCCGGTTTTGTTTGTGAATCCGTCGGTGGATCCTATTACACCTGTTGCGAATGCGAGGTATATGGCGGGATTCTTTGAGGGAGCGGTGGTGTTGGAGCAGAATTCTACGGGGCATACGGTGTTGCCTTTTCTGGGGGAGTGCGTGGCCGAGGTGGTCAAGAGGTACTTTGGGGGTGGGGAATTGCCGGATGGGGGAAAGTTGTGTCGGGTTGATGTGAGGGTTGATTGGGAGGCAGGGGGAGTCGGTATGGATTGATGAGGCTGGTGTCTTGTGAAATTTGGAGTACATTTAGGGGTTGCTAGGGATAGTAGCTTAGTAGATTAGAAACGCTAATCTGAGTTTAATTCAACACTACGACAGACACGTATATTCTGAATGTCTTACATGGATTCATGAGGAATCTCCCTCATACTTACATACACCAACTTCTCCCATCCATTCAGTTCCCATTCCTACTACACACACCCATCCTACACCTCCACAAACCTCCCTATAACCTCCGCAAACCTCGCCGCATCCTCAAGCCCCACCCACCCATCTCCCTCCTCCCTCCCCTCCACAAACGCAAACAAACACCCCATAACATCCCTCGCCAAAATTGGCACCTCTATCTGCTCCTTGCTCCACTCACACCCCACATCTCTTACCTCCCCACTCGCAAAATCATGCACCTGAATCTTCACAGCCGCATCGTTATCTGAAAACTGAAAGAAAGGACTCGTAGGCGATACGAGTTTGATTTCGCCCTTTTCGCAGTTGATGGACCAGGTAAGTGCGGGGTCGCCGGGAAAGGCTGGGCCATTGCGAAAGAGAAAGGCAAGTGTTGCGTTTGGGGCTGTTTGGGCGGAGGGTGCCAGAGTGGCGTGGAGAGAGAGGAGGTCGGGCACGTTGGAGGTTATGTGGCGTGTTACTTTTTGAGTTTCTGTGTCGGGAACGCCGAGGCTTGGGCGTTGGATTTGGGATTTGGAGTGGATGCTTGAGGGGGAGAGGGGGCCGAGGACTGTGAGGATTGAGTCAAGAACTGAGATTTCGTTAGATAGCTTGTTTGAAGGATGATTTAGGAGTATGAGCATACTGTGGCCGACGCCGATAGTAATGCTGTTTCCACCGATTTCTTTGTCAGTAAAGTAGATTAGACCTGGGGGCATCATGTCTCTGAAAGGAATGCCGCCAAAGGCCTGGACGCTTGAACTTAGGATTTTCCCTAGCTCCCCTTTGCCTCCGTCTAGGACTTCTTGGAGTTTAACGACGGCTGGATCCCATCGCCTTTGCAGACCTACTGCCACTCTAGATCCGCTTTGCCGTGCTGCCTCGACTATTTCTTGGATATGGTCTTTGTTTGAGGCGATTGGCCATTCGACGTAGATATCTTTGCCCGCTTTGATACTTGGCATGATAACCTCGCGGTGCTTGTCAACTCTTGTATTACATATCACGAAATCGATATCTGGGTCTGCTGCTAGGTCTCCGGGGCCACCGTAAGCTTTGGTAGTGGCGGGGAACTCATGTTTCTGTATCGCGGCTTTTGCGGCTTCGACACTGCTGTTTAGCAATGCAGTGATAGCAATTTTTGAGCGGCCAGCGGGTGTCTTGAGAACGGGAAGGTGGGCATTAGCAGCCCATGACGTAGTGCCAGAGGAGGAAAGCCCAATCAGGGCTGCGCGTACGGGTAGTGACTTGGATGTCATTTTGTTGCTGAGAGACACTTTTGGAATGAATGATGTATCAGCCAGTGACTTGCACCACTGCTTTATAGTGCGTGTGTGCTGTGTAAACTTTAAATTCATGTTATGTGTGACTTTGTGGCATTTGTATGCAGATGCACTGGTAAGATGGCGTTTTGGTCGCCTAAGATTGGACAAAAGCATTGGTTAGCAGAACTTGGCAACTCTGTGGAGGGCGTACATCTCGTAGTATGCTAAGCAATTCCAGACTAGTACTGCGGGGTGTGTGTAAACAGTCAGACATCTCAGTGTAAAACATGGTTTCGACTCTTCAGCTGAGAAATAGCTAGTTTTGGAATTAGTTGGAAAAGGGTTCTCTCATGAGCAGCAGATATGTATGAGAAAATGGAGAGAGCCAGTCAAAATAGCAAAAGGAACCTTTGCAGCGCGTGCTTGGAGAGAAGCAATGGAACCTATCTGCGTAGGGGGACGAAGTTGCAGAGACTAAATATCTATATACCAACTAAGGGCTTACTGATACAGTACCAAGGTTACTAGCATGCGCTAATGCGGCAATGCGATGCTTCGTTTACAAACTCAGCGGATATGGATCTCCGCATCCCTAGCATCAATACAGGTCCCGTGATCCGAGCTGAATGTTAGAGCGGCATTTTCATGTGAAAGCTGTATCCATGTTTTCTGTTTTTGGTTGAAGGACGTCTTTCGGACAGAACAACATGTGGGAACAAGACGTGACTTGTAGTGACATGCTTCTGGAGATCCTAACGCATTACTACGACTCAAGTCTCCTCGATTCGCACAAGCGTTATCTCGTGTCTCAGCCACGCTCAGACCAAGGCTTCGGGGCAAGGCGACCGAAGCGGATGGCGAAAGAGTCCCGGATCCGAGATCAGACAAAGAAAATCGATGACAGCTATATGCATTACGAAAACCACGTCGCAAGCATACACGCTTTGACAAGTCATTTACTGGAGTACCGTAGTGTGAGTATTCGCTGTAAGCACAGGGGCGCAGCGTACGCTTCGGAAAGCACTCGGCTTCCGAGTTCCGATTCGTTTAGGTTCAAGGCTACAGTAGCACCGAGCGACTTGTCAGGGATTATCGCTGCTGACCTTTGAGCCCTGCATGCACATCTGGTAAGGCTGAGGTTTTGACAAGAGGCGCATCAGGTAGTAAAGTTGTGGTGGTAAGAGGGCATAACAGCAGAGATTTCTCATTGAAGCGCCTGGTCTCTTGTGGAGGAGAGGGATGCTTGGCTCAACGTTCCGTGTAGCTGGTGTGGACGAGAAAATTTGACAGTACTAAGCTTAACTGCCAGCAAGTATATGTGCCTGAAGAAATCAATACGCCGTTGCAGCTGAGGATAAATGCGGATATCTCAGCAGGTTCAGCCATAGCGGCGGCAACGGTTAGAAATGATGCAGGTCTGTACCCGGCCCTGGTCGTGATGTTTGGAGCGGCAGCGGGACTGGTAAAGACTGGCAATATGCTTCCAAATACCGTCTGAACAATGTCCAGACCGAGCAGGAGACAGGAATGCAAGGAGGAGAGGCTAGTCCGAATGGGGTTTAGGCAATGCGGGGCACGTCCGTAGCGTGTGGGACCGAGGTATGTCTGCCGCGTGCTTGTGAGACGTCGCCCACGCCAGGCCTGTTGAGCAGCTTATAGTCGGCCGATGCTTCCATTTTATCCTGTGTTGGACTTCCCCCTTCTTTTTTCATTCCAATTCAATCCCACCCAATTCAACTCCCGACACAATGGTTGAACTACCCCCCTTCGAACACACGCCCATCGACGACATTGCCCCCACGTGCGCAAAGGTGCGGGCCAGCTTCCTCTCCCACAAGACCAGGCCCCTCGAGTTCCGCATTCAGCAGCTGCGCAAGCTCTACTGGGGCTTCAAGGACAATGCCGAACTCATCAAAGAAGCCTGCAAGCGCGATCTCGGAAAGCCGGAGTTTGAGACGTACCTGACCGAGATCTCGTGGTGCATGAACGACTGCATCTGGATGGCCGACAGGGTCCGCCAGTTCGCAAAGGACGAGCCCGCGCCCGACATTCCCTGGACCAACAAGCCGCTCCGCCCGCACATCAAGAAGGATCCCTTGGGGGCTGCTCTGATCATTGGGTATGCTTCTCAATGCCATTGGTATGTCAAGGAGCGATGCTGACAAGAACAGAGCGTACAACTTCCCTATCCAACTTACCCTAGGCCCCCTCATTGGTGCCATTGCAGCTGGATGTACCGCCATCGTCAAGCCCTCTGAGTCGTCGCCCAACGCCGCCGTTGTCATTCAAAAGATCCTGCGTGAATCACTGGATCCCGAGTGCTACACGTGCATTCAAGGCGCCATCCCCGAAACTACTGCCCTCCTCGATCAAAAGTGGGACAAGATCTTCTACACGGGTGGCGAGGCTGTCGCCAAGATCATCGCAAAGAAGGCGGCTGAGACGCTTACACCGCTGACGCTTGAGTTGGGCGGCAGAAACCCTGCCATTGTCACAAAGCATGCGGATCCCAGGTTGGCAGCGAGACGATTGTTGTGGGCCAAGACATTGAACGCTGGTCAGGTTTGTCTCAGCCACAACTGCACTTTTGTTGATCGCGAGATCCTGCCCGCTTTCATCGAGGAGATGAGGAAGCAACTAGAGGAATTTTACCCACAGGGCCCCCGCAAGTCCCCTGACTATGGCCGCATCGTCAATCTACGTCAATTCCAACGCATCAAGAAGATGGTTGACGACAGCAACGGCAAGATTGTCCTCGGCGGCACCATGGACGAGTCTGACCTCTTCATCGAGCCCACCGTTGTCCAAATCAGCGACATGAACGACAGCATGGTCACTTCGGAATCTTTCGGCCCGCTCTTGCCCATCCTTCCTGTTGAAAACCTCGACGAAGCCATCAAGATTGCAAACGAACTCCACGACACACCCCTTGGTACCTATGCCTTTGGTACAAAGGCCGAGATGGAGAAAATCATCAGCCAAACACGGAGTGGCGGTGCTTCTCTCAACGACGGCTTCTTCCACGGCTCCATTCCTACCCTGCCATTTGGTGGTGTCGGAACAAGTGGCACAGGTTCATACAGGGGCAAAGCTAGTTTCGATACCTTTACTCACCGCAGGAGTGTGACTACAACACCTGCATGGATCGAGGGCCTCATGGCTGTTAGATACCCACCCTACACGCCTCAAAAGCAGAAGCAATTGAAGGGCATGAATGAGATAAAACCAAACTTTGATCGCGAGGGAAACCCTCTTGGATGGAGCACTTGGTTTTTGGGCTTGCTGGGTGTGAAGAGTCTGGCTGCCGTTGTTGGTGAGTAACTCGTGCTTTTGAGACGGTGGTTCTGGGTATATCCTAACATCAATCAGCGGCCGTTGCTTTGAAGCTATATTTGCAGCGAAGGTCCAAGCTGTAAATACTAATCATCTAGCATGATACAATGAGGAGGAAGAGGGATGTATGAATTTTGCAAGGGGGAGTCTTGGAACGAAACTGGGAGGATCTCCGGGAGATTTCAGGATCACCATTTCTTGTCTCATCATTCAGGATACACAATTGTT